AGGTTGAACCTCTAGGACAGCAGTTGCGCCCAAACAAGCCCGGTTACTACTACTACTACTACTACTACTACTACTACTACTACTACTACTACTACTACTACTACTACTACTACTACTACTACTACTACTACTACTACTACTACTACTACTACTACTACTACTACTACTACTACTACTACTACTACTACTACTACTACTACTACTACTACTACTACTACTACTACTACTACTACTACTACTACTACTACTACTACTACTACTACTACTACTACTACTACTACTACTACTACTACTACTACTACTACTACTACTACTACTACTACTACTACTACTACTACTACTACTACTACTACTACTGCTTTTACTACTACTACTTCTAGTATTACTATTTTATCTCATCAATGGACCGGCATCGGAATAATAACGTATCCATCTTTCGAAAGAATACAGTCTGAAGCAAACTCCAAAAGAGAAATAGTGCAGTTTCGAAAGCACTCAAGATTCAGGCACTCTCTTTTTTCCAAGTGGGTCAAACATGACTGTGGTATCCTTGTAGCTGAAGTAGTGAGCATCATGAGTTGCACGAGTCTGTTTGGCAGGTGCACTGATGTGCTCTTGTTCGCGTTTTCCCCTTCCAGCCAGCGGGGTCTTGTGAGCGGAAGAACGGTGCTGTTCTTGGGACGATCTTGTTGCATTTACATCCAGAATCGAGACAATTGAGCACTTCGTATACTTGTTTATCTCAAATTGAATCTTCGCACAATTTCCGAAATGCTTGGCGCTTTCACGGTTTGGTTGAGTTGATAAGTGCTTTGACACACGTCTGTAGAATCAGGGAATAGATTACGGTCAGCTGAAGAACGTCTTCCTCGAGAACCTCTTTTCTTGTCGGTAAGAAGGAATACACCACACAACTTGAAGCCTGCAACCGCTGGAGAGTGTAGCACCAGGGCAAGATTGATGGTACTCATCGATCTCGATTTTGGATCTTGCATGACCCACTTTCAGATTATCAAGCGCATTCACCTCTTTCTTGATTCCTTGCATGTTTCTTCCGGGTCCAGCTAAAAGCCTTCAAGGTCATCGACTTGCAAACGTGTCGCAGAATGTGCATCAATTGCGTCGGCTTCTGTTTCCACAGTGTTCAGCTTTAGCATGGATTTATCTTAATCTTTATTGCATGCATCCAACTGTTTTAGCAAGACGTCCAGTGCATTCCTTCTTAGTTTTTGGAGTGTTCTATTTTGAGCCTTTGGACTGGTCTTTTTCGGGAATTGGGTGTCTTTGGGGTCAACTTAATTCCCTGAAGGGTTGCCACCCCAGAGGTCACGCCTTGCAAAAGTTACAACTAGCAAGTTAGAGAAATGATTGTGACTGAAAGCAAATCAACAAACAAAACCAAAAAAATTTGTGGGTTGTCCAAAATGTTCAAAACTCAACAAAAAAACAGCACTTCAGCAAGTTTCTGTGTTGATGCACTTCGGTGTTTCGGTCGCTGCGCTTGACACTGTCTCAAAAATGCTAGTTTTGAGCAAAATCAATCACGGACGTGGAAGGCAAGAAAAGGCTTTCCGGGTCCGTTTCTAAGCTCAAAAAACCACACGAAACGGTTTCACATGCTGTGGATTATATCCAAACACAAACAAAGCAAAACATGGAGTTCTTGGCTGAACATAAACCTTCCGCAGGTTCAGCAAGTGCGAACCCTCCAAAAAAGGTCCAGCAAGTATTAGGCCTCTTAAACTGCTGCCGAAACTAAACTCTGCAAAAGGCCTTCAAGTATCACTCTTCAATTGCTGCCCAAAAGCCCAGCAAGCATTACCTCTCAAACTGCTACTAAACCCTCCACAGAGGCTTGGCTGCGGCTTTAAAGGAAGCTTTAGGGGCTTGAAGAAGGCTTAAAAAGAGGGGTTGAAAGGGGGGGCTTTCCTCAAAGGGGGCTCTAGGGGGTTTAAAGAAGGTTGAAAGAGAGACTTAAAGGGGCTTAAAGGGTGGCTCAGTTTAAAGGGAGCTTCAAGGGTGGGCTTCAAGGGGACTGCTTTAAGAGTGCTTAAAGCGGAGTCCCATCCTTCTTCTTGCAGACAACTTTACAAAGGTCAGCAAGGTTAGGTCGAATACGCTCAATTGTAAATGAAAGGAAGTTGGAACGACATAACTTAATTCCGCGTGGATTGAGTGGAAGTGAAACAGTGCTCCCTTCTACATCAACTTTTGATGCGAAATGAAAAGAGACAGCTGCGCGAGCTCTGCTTTCACATGGTCTAACATGCAGGTTAACGTCTGGATAACTCGGATTCCTTTTCAGTTTCTGTCTTGGCGCACAGTGCGAATGGAAGCTTTTCCAAATGAGACGTCCGGCCGGACCTTCCAGGTACATTGCATGCACAGCAATGCACATTCTGCACTTAGAATCTGCGACCCAGGCTGCCAGTGGTTTTGGGCTCTCCGACAACGAAAAACAACGACAAAGCAAGAAACTGGCGATTGCTTGGGCGTGAAGTGTTGCGAAGCAGCGGAGAAAGGGGGATTGGGCGCTAAGGTGGAGCAAGCGTGCAACCAGGGAGGAAGCGGGCAGGGTGCAGGTCCAGCGAAAAGGGCGGAAGGGTGCCTGACATGTCCTCGTGCCTATGCTTCACACTTTTTGCAGACAACTCAAGTGCACATCACGTGTCAACAGGGAAACTAGAAGGGTCACATATATCAACTGCCTCTGCCCTATGTGCACGCAACAATCGGCCGCTGCGCGGGGCAGTTGAGTGATCACAGTATCTTTGGATGCCAAGCAATGGACGCCGCATCCATTGACAGGCATCTTGGACACCTTGCCCACAGTCTGACTGCCCGGCCAGGAGGGCGCCCGCCCTCCTGCGCGAGGAAGAGTGGAGGCAGCAAAAGCAGCGAGGGGGGAAATTGGAAAGCTTACCCATGAGCCCAACTGCGCCACACTCTTGTAGCTAACCTTCTGATTTGTTTGCAACCTTTCCTGTCCAGGTTGAAAGAGAAACGACCAGTGTCTCGGTTGAAATACAGCTTGAACCTGCGCCGTTGAGAGAGCTTTTATTCTTGTTTGCAGAGCGACAGCAAGGCCCTTGTAAGATCCAATGCGCCGTGACGGCATTGTACAAACCTTTTTTCTTGGAAGGGGGGGGATTTGCTGGGAAACGGACATAGTTCTTCCAAAGCGCACTGTTGATTGAAGGGAACTGAAACAGACACAAGTCTAATTCTTGCAGAGTGGCTCAGCCCATGGAAGAGGTGCACAGCAGCTTGTCGGAAGAGAACTGATTTAGCTGTCTCGGAGTGACACCTTGTCAGAAAAGCCCGCCGACCAGCTTCATTCAGTAGCGGCATCGGCGTCGTGTACCTTACACCGACACGACAACCAAAATGCTTGGCAGTGACAGGTCAAGGGGGAACAACCTGACCAGCACAGAACGTGATTTTGCTTCTGGCAGCGATCGCATTTTGCAAACCGCTGTGCTTCCTCCAACACAGCGCAAGTCAAGCCACAACGGGTCTACTTCGACCTATTCGTGTTCTAAGAGAGGGGTGTTGCGTGTTCTGTTCTGTTTGGCTGCTTCCGGCAATCTGGCCGTCTTTCCTCGTCGCAATTCGGCCCACTGTGCTGCTGATGTGTCAAGGGGCGTCCGCTTTAAAAGCAAAGGAAGACGCTGGCAGGAAATACACCTAACAAACCAGCACCTGAACAGAGTCTGAAATTGTGAAGCTTTCGCACTACAGCCAGCGTTGCACAGTAACCATCTTTATTCTTCACTGAAAGAAAGGTTGGAATTCCACTTGTGACGCAAACAACGATGACGCTCCGTTTGACAAGCTGCTCCAGATGCACTCCAAGAGTGGCGCAGCCCAGTTGGTGGATATTAGAGCTGGAGTTAGAGGCTTGGGTTTAGGGTGTTCATACACGTCTGGTGTAGGGTTGGGGTTTAAGGTTAGTTCCCGCGCGTCCCCAGGGTGGGTGTGGTGGGGGGGTTTGGGTTTGAGGTTTAATACCCCCCCGCCCCCCCCCCCCGTGGTGCGGGCGTGGTTTGTATGTGTATATTATATATTTATTTATTTAGAGGCTACACATTTTATACTAGATATATATATATACATATATATATATATATCGAGTATACACATGAATGAATGTATATATACTATATAAATTGAACATACTTCATGGGCATTTGCTACTCAATCTCCAAGATGTGGCTTCACAGCGCTCATAGGGTTTAGAGTCTTTAGAGGGTTTAGACAAAGGGAGGACAGGGTCCAAGCAGATGAGAAATATCACGACTGAACATATTCTCAATTTTGCTTGGTGCTCTGTTAGGACCCCACTCTGGTTTGGAATGTTGAAAGTTGTGATATCACGGTTTCTGGTTTGCCCTAAAACCAACAGCAGTTGTGATATCCCGGTTTTTGGTTGTAATAACACTCTTTTGGTTGTAGTATCCCGTACACGCCCCTGCCCCCCCCCTCCCCTTCTTCCCCCTCCCCTCATCCAAGCCCTCCAGACCCTGGGCTGTGCGTTTTTCTACTCCTTGTTGCACCTGGAGCATTGAGAAGCGTGGTCCGTGGCGTGGAGCCACTAATTTTTTTCTTTCTTTTTGCTTTTATCGGCTTTCGTGTAACCTGCCTGGGAGCAACACCCCACTCCAGTGTGTGACAATCAAAGTATCGGGAATAGAATTTGAATGCAGCCATGTCAGCCAATTTTCACTGCTGTGTAGAGTAGCGTAAAGTATGAGACAATGTTGGGAAACATGGGCTTTGCACTTGCAGCTGCAAGTTGTTGGCTCCCTATTCTTGTTTGAAAGATCTGCAAGTGCAGGCATTCTATTGTGCACTACACAGAGAGCAGCTACCAAGGTAACTGCCCAAAGGTTTCATCCTGAAGGCTAGCCATCGAGTTCGAACCCACTTTACACTGTAAATCAGAGAAAACCTAATTAATTAATTCAAACCTCCAGAGCCCCTCTCTGTGCGTGAGGGAAATGGACGCCTCCGGGTTAGCAATTGCACCGCTTGCCGAGGCGCCTTCTGGGATTTTGTGGTTTTCAAGTCATGGCCCCCAACTTTACAGGCAGCCGCCTGAAAACCAGGGTTTTCAGGTTTGGGATGGTTGGGTTAGCAAGGTCATACTAACAGTTTTCGGCGATCACATGTTCTTCGCTCTCAAACTTCGCATACATCTTCAACTCAAAGTCCGAAGTCCCGCAGCAAGGGGGCTCTCCAGAAGCATCGGGCACTTGCCTGCGCACGTGCCAAGAAGATCGTGGAAAAGGTCCATGGGGACGTGACTCGGCCCAGGGGCTTCTCAAAGTGGGCTGAGGGTTGGAGAATCGAAAAGAAAGTTGCGGCCTTGGTACCAGCAGCCTGATGTCCTGTGCTCTTATTCGGCTTCCAGCAACAGGACAAGGCGGCCGCCGCAAACTCGGTGATGACGCAGCTGACAGCTTTTCGCTTGCTACATAGATGCTTGGCTCGTTGGCGATGCTCTGAAGTGCCCTTCACCTTGCAGACGGAACATATTTTGTTGGAATGTGATCTGGTGACACTTTTTTGCCTGTGTCAGACCCTATGTCCGAGGATATTATGATCCCAAGAGGGACTTGGATGTGCACCCAAGAGACGAGTGGCCTGCCACCAGGGTCAAACGAGGCATTAACCTTTCTATCTTTGGTTCTAGTTGGCCTGCATGTTGTTTATGTCTGAGTGGCGTCTGTAAGCAAAGTTTTCAAGCAAGCGTTGTTGCATCACCGTGCCAAGGTCGTTGCGTTGGGGGCGGCATTTCTGAGTTGCAAGATCACGGAAATACCGAGAAAAGCGCTATACGTGGTGAAGCTGAATGATATCGTGGCAGGAGAAGGCAGGATGTGCCACATGCCGTCCGATGCCCAATTTCAAGACAAGACGACTCGGTGTAGTTTGCCGCTGCCCATGCTCCAAGTCCTAAGTCCCGAGCTGCCGAACCCGAAGCCTGCCCAGGAGCCACACGAAATGCCAAAGAGCAGGATTGCTGGATCCGGCGATTCTTAAAGTAACCTCTCCGCACGGAAAGGGGGCTCGACTCGGTTCGGCTCATTCGCACTCTTGCCTTGAATGAATGGATCTTCAACGTTGGTGTGACCTCTCTTCATTGTATGATTGAATGTATATTCTGTATATTGTTATATATTATATATATATGTATATATATATATACATATATATGGTACGCCCCCCAGTTATCCACCTGTTTGGTTGGCTTTAGAGCTTGTCGGAAAGATGGGGGGGGGGAGGCTATTTCAGAGCTTCGGTCGTATGATTTTCTGATATTATAGTATGAAGATATCGTGTGGTTATTGTATGAATGTATTTCAAGGCCTCACTGGTAAAGCACACGGAGTTTTGAAGTTCTGTCCGGAGTTTTGAGCTTCAAAAATCCGGGATCCAAGATTCAAGATTCAAGATTCCAGGAAAACGTTTCCTCAGCATCTTGAATCTTGAATCTTGGATCCCGGAGTTGTCAAGTTCAAAACTCTGGATTGACGTTCAAAACTCAGGGAACCCTAGAGGGTTAGGGTCTAAAAGGTCAAGGGCTTAAGGTTGAGGCATTTCCACCTAAGCCGGCAATTACACCCAATCCCTGAACCTTCAAACTCTGTAGGGTTAAGGTTTCATTTAGGGCCTATTAGGGCCTACGATTTAGGCATTAGAACTTAAGCCGGCAATTCAACCTAAACTCTCAACTTTTAAACCCAAAAAGTTCAAGATTTAGACATTTAAACCTAAGCCCATAGTGTTTAAATCTCACGGGTTCAAAGTTTAGGCATTAAAACCTGACCCCTAACCTTTAAGGGGTCTAAAGCGTTCAAACGTTAACCCCATAGGCGCTGAAGGTATAAATGCCCGGACTTTAGGTACCTCAGGTTTAGGCACTAAAACCTTTAAACCCTATAAGGTTTTTAATGGTTTAAGGTCTGGGGATTTAGACCTAGGTTTGGGCATTCAAACAGGTTTAAGCCTCAAACCCTATAGGGCCCCTATAGGGGTTAGGTATTTAAGCCGAATAGGTTACCATCAAACGCTAATTATAAGTTTCCAGGTTTAGGTGGTTTAGGTTCAAAACCTGCAAGCTCTACAAAGTTTAAAGGCTTAGGGTTCTTCAGGGTTTATCTACCCTATCGGGGTTAGCCCTATGGGGTTTTAGACCCTTGGGGGTTGATGGTTTAGGGCTTAAGGTTTAGGGCATTGCAAAACGAAACCCCAAAATTTCAGGGATTTAGCCCCTTTTTCTGTTTTCCTCAAGCCTTAACGCATATAGGGTTAACGGTTCTAACAGGATTAGAACCTTATAACCTTATGTTCTAGGGCTTGAGGTTTAAATCCTAAACCTTGAATCCGATAGGGTTCTGCCTATGTTTGTGGGGCTTGCCTCCTGTGGAAATGCAAAGGAAAAGTACGATAAGTACCCTCTTCATGTGTGTATGTAGGGTATATGTACTGCATATCAAATACAGAAAATGGAGAAGCCTCGAACCATAAGACGAGGACGTATGCATAAGCTGATGCGGAAAAATCATGTACTGTAAGCCCCGGGGACGCGAGAATACTGTGAGCAAATGTGTTTGCACTATTTTCTAGGACCTTTCAGCAGGCTGTTAATAGTTGCTCGCAAGTATCCTGCTTTTCATTGCAATGCTTCCCAGAGGTCTCCCAACATGTGATAGTATCATCTTCTTATAATCTTAGTATATTGTTTGTTGTATTGTGATTTTCTGCATTATGTTTGATTTCATTCTTGTGCCTATTTGTTCTGTTGCCACGTGTTGGGAGTGGCTTGTTTGATTTTAGAGTTGTGGTGCTGCGCTTCTGTTGTGTTGAGGGCTTGTGTTGTGCCCGTCGTACACACTGGCGCTACTTCAGGGTCCGTAGTTTGCCTGCATGAAGACCTTTCGAAGGAAACTCAACGTTAGAGGCATTTTTGTTGAGCACTTTTCATGCCTACATAAAGGCAGACCCTCTTCTCGGATTTGACGGTTTGAAGGGCCGCCTTGAAAAGCCTGGATCTCCTAATCCCAAGATGCGCCGCGCCAGTCGCCCTCGTGGCCCGTCTGGGGCACCCAGGATTGAGGACCAGCTCCTGCAACTTTTGGGGTTCAACTTTGCCTTCGAGAAGTGGTCCCCGCTGGCAGAGATCGAGAGGCGAGCCGGTCGCAGCTTGTCTTGTGGGCTTTTTGGGGGTTGGAAGGCATTGCTCTTGAGTTTGATGCCGGTATTGGAGAGCTACCTGTGGCGGGCTTGGGGGCCAGCTTTATGAACAGAAGCAGGCACACAGGAATTGACTTGGAGTTTCCTGCAGCAGTGCCAGTCACTGAGATGCTATTGTATACTTCCATGCTGTTGCCGTTGTCGGTTGTTTAGCTCTAGACGCCTGCCAAGGCTTTGTTGACCTTCTATTTCAGCGACCAGCTTGGACCAGCGCAACGTGCAAATCAGTGCAGCAACAGTCGCCAGACCTTGGAAGGACGGAGGGTTGGAAGCGTTGCCATGGCTTTAGGAAGCCCAAGTGCCAAATACACCCCGAAAGCCTACATTGAGTGTTCATGGGGGGGCCCCAACAGTAAAGAGGGTACAACATTAAGTTGCAGGTGTTGGCCATACATTTACACAAGTGCTCAATCATCAGCCATGGTTTGCCTTGGTGGGGATAGGGCTTAGGGGTGGTGGGAGGGCGGTGGGGGGTGGGGGTTTGGTTACAGGTGTTGCTTATTTGGGGAGTTGGGTTATGGGTCGCAGGACCACGGTGTCCTCCCGCGCCTTGAGACACTACCTGGAAGTGGCTGAAATGTGGGACGTGGGCGACCTTGACCCGCACATGCTGGATACGGCTGTCATCATGGCGCTGAAGATGTACATGAAAGGCCAGCTGCTGCTTCTTACGAGCGTGAGCCGGAAAGTCCAGAATCCCAACCCCTGTACCACGCAGTTGGGGGTTTACGAAACCAGGGGACCCCAAATCGAGACCCCCAAATAGTAGAAGGTAAGGACCCCCCAATCAGGTACCCCCTAGTATCGTAAACCCCCCCCCCATGTTTGCTTCCGAAACTTTTCTTTTTCCGGTATCCATTGCAACTCGCTTCCCTGCTGCCGGCTTAGGTGTGGAGTACCCGGCATTCGAGCTGCAGATATTTAGGGTTTAGGGTTTAGGGTTTGGGGTTTAAGGTTTGGGGTGCAGATATTCTTGCTTCAGGGCGTTGAGGATGCCAAGAGACGCCGTCAAGTGTGGTGGGGAGGGGTGGCAAAGGGTGTTGGAGGTGTTAGATTCAGAATGTTTTGGGGGCTAACAGGTCTTGCTTTGCCCAAGGGTCTGTTTGTGCCTTTTGTTGGATCACGTTTGGTCAATGGGATTCCGAAATCTAGCGAATCCAAGAACACGGAGAAGCCCGTCAATGTCTTCGAAGTGGCGGCTCCTGGTTGCTGAAGAGCCCTTTTTTTTTTTTCCGCTTCCATCTTTTTTCCTTTATGGCCGTAAGTAAATTTAGTGTGGTCGTAGATGAGAGTCTTCAAGCGCCTGGTCTCCCTCCAAATGGGCTCCGAAACCTCCAGAAAGCTTTAAACAAGAGCGGGTGTGAGGTCGAGTCTTTTCTTCCGGGAGCGGTCTTCGACACGCCCAGCACGCCCAGCCCAGTGGCCACGGAAGAGCGGGACAGGTGTGTTGGCGAAGGGGGCCCTGTGAGCCATACCCCTGTTAGCCCCAAAGACGTGAACCCATCCGGCAGAGCCAAGCTGAAGTTGTCCAGAGAGGCGGAGAAATCTGAGAAGTCCAAGCGGGACAGGCCCGACGAATCGCAGGAGGACTACGAGGCCAAGCGCAGGAAGACAGCCGCGGCGGACAAGCTGCTGAAAGACAAGTTTGCGCTGGTCATGGCTCTGTACCGGAACCGCGGAAAGTGAATCGAGGACAGAGAAGATCGCTTGTTTCACAGGGCCCTAGCCGTCTGCAGCTGTGTGCTGCCTTGGCTGCGTCCGATGTCTGGCGTTGCGCTGCTCCAGCAACTACGCACCTCAAAGCACTGGGGATGCTACTGCTGCCTCGGAGCTTGGCACAAAACCGCTCGTTAGGGTTTAGGGTTTAGGGTTTAGGGTTTAGGGTTTAGGGATTAGGGTTTAGGGTTTAGGGTTTAGCGTTTAGGGTTTAGGGTTTAGGGTTTTGCTGTGCTCTTGCGTGAATGTGCACTCCCCCACTAACTTGAATGACTCTGAATGGCAGCCGAATGTTAAGCCAAGATCCAAGATTTCAATTGAAAATGGTGCAGCTGTTGACCCAAGACAGTCCCATGGAGACGTCCACCACGCTGATGCATATGGGAACGTGTGCATGAGACAGGGAGGGTCGCAGTCACGTTTAGCAACGACACTACAAGCCAAAACAATGATTGTTGAATTGGAGCCCAAGACTACTGCTGCTGCAGACACGTTGGTTGCAGCATTGTATCCGAGCCATGTGCAACAATTAGCAGCTTGTTGTGTGCTTTTGTGTGTGCTTCTGCTACTAGTGTGCCGCTGCTGCTAGGACGACTTCTATGACTCTTGCCTGTGCTACAGTCTGCCCGTCCCCGGAGACTAGCGCTGGCTTGCGGAGGGGCTGGAGTTGGAAGTTGGGTGGACCTCCGGGGCGGCACTAAGATCCTCAGGTTGAGGGTTCGACGAGCACCCCCTTCTTCCCCCCTCTGTGGCGCTAGTGCGACAGTGCCTCGGTGTATGATGTTATGTGTGCATTCCTTGGACTTTGGGTGCAACTCAATCGTGGGTTGGGGGTCGTTGCAGTCTTTGAGCATCTGGAGGTCTATTTCTGGAGAGGATTCACTTTTTCTGCGATACTTGGAAATTACAGGCCGTGGGGCCCCTTTTCGAATTCAACAATGTTTCGGAGCTCGGAGCCTACTTTTTGGCAGCAGGGCGATGCGGACCCGGCAGTTGCACAGACGGATGGTGGCAGTTTGGGATGGGATGGGAGACGTGAGCAAGGCGGGGGTAGGGTCTACCCCGGGCGCCGACGCTCTCGCTCTGGCCGCAGACACCGGCGGTGCCGGAACCGTGGGGATAGCAGTTTACGTGACGACCGTGGGCGGCGTGGTAGAAGTGCGGGCGGTGCTCGCAGTGCGTACGCTACGCGGTAGCGGTGCGAGCGGTGCTCGCGTTGGTATGCTGCGTGGGCGCAGACTCGAGGACAACATCACAAGGCAGAGAAGCTGGATATTGGGAAGCACGTGGTGTACAACTCAAGACTCATGGATTGGGAAGGAAATGTCAGCCAAGTAAGGTCGCGAAGTGAATCAGTGGTTATTGAGTGCGAGCGGGGATCAAGCCCCCCTCCAGCACCGTCGACGCCTGGTTCATCCGGCCTCTACCCGCGTGGTTTCGCCTCGTTTTTCTGCTGCAGCTTCACAGGGTCCTCATCGAGATGCTCGCGCAGGTAGAAGCGGTAAAGGACGTGAGCCTTTGGGTGGTCAGGGCGAGGGCAAATTAGCTCGCCATGGAGGTCCGCAGAGCGTTGCGTTGTCTCGTTCGTTTCGCGTTGCTGTTCCTTTTTGTTTTGTGGTTGTCGTGTCGTGTGTTGTTGGGGCTGGCCTCTTAAGCCTTGTGCCGGAGGGGCCGCCCTTTTGTTAGGCCAGGCTCGTGCCTCGGTCGATCCTCACCTCACCTCACCTCACCTCAGTCCTGCCCGTACCACGGTGTAGTTTTTTAAATATGTGGAGGGCGGCCAGGCCCCCGGAGCCACGGAGGTAGCATAAAAGTGCTGTTTAAATCCAGCCCTCCACCCCTCCACCCCTGAGGGGTGCAGCAGCAGCAGTAGGAGCAGCAGCAGGAGCAGTAGCAGTAGCAGTAGCAGTAGGGCTCCCTCCCCACCTACGGGGAGGCTTTTCAGGAGCTTCCCAGGCCTCTTAGAAGGAACAGAAATGCTAAAGTGGTTCAGAGCTTGCATTTCCTGATTCGTCCAACCCAAGGCGAACTGCTTTGCAATGTCTGAAAATACACATGTACCAGGCAACAGAGCGACATCTATCAAACCAGTTCGATGCCGCAGGCATTCTTTGGCTCAAGATCCCAGCAGGCACTTGCACTTCGTGTCGCTTCGCAAGGAAACTCAGGGAAATGTCCGAGGCAGCAGGAGTGCTCCGAATCCAGTCCGGATACATCCGGAGCTCGTCCATCAAGGACCTTGCCGTTTGTGGGGGTGACAGGTCGGGGCAACACGTGCTTGGTTGGTGTTCGGGCTTATCCACATCTGTCGTCGTTGTTTTTGCTCAGGTACTTGGGTTTCGGGGTGTCAGGATTTTAATCACTGTTGTGATCCTTGGCGGGCAGCAGTGATTGCACTGCCAACAAACGTCCCTGCTGGACACGTGAAAACAGGCACCTCTGCTGCAGCAGTTGAAGCTGATCGCACAATTTGGGCCCTGGGGTTTATGGCTTTGTTCCTGTTCTGGCTGTTAGCCGTGCGCTGCCACGAAGGCCCAGAGCCGCTCCCAATCGCCAAAACCCTGAAATGTCAAGCCTTGACCTTTCGACATAGCACCCTAAACCCACCATGTTGCATACTGTCAACCTGGGTCTGCGGCTTTGTTTGATGGTTTGGGCTGGGCTTAGGGCTTAGGCCTTACAGTTTCCGACAAGCGCCAACTGCTCTGCACAGCCAGCATCTTTAGCGCATGTTGAGGTCTGGCAGAATATTTTCGCCTGGCTTCAGAATGCGAGCATGCGGAGCGTGTTGAAAGGAAGTTTACACAGGCATCCCTATAGCCCCGAAACTATCGAAACCCTGAGCCTCGACTTTTGAAGCTGATTGCAGGATTTGGGACCGTTAGAGTTTACCGGCAAGATCGCTGGGGGTGACTATGCTGAACTGGACATGGGCGCTTGTCTCCGCTTGAATGGTAGCTATGAAAGAGGGTTTTCCCAGGTGAAGTTGCAAAAAACTCTCACCTTGCCGAGGCCTTTGCCAATACGTAGTTTTTTGTTGCATCCGACACGTGCAGTCTCCATGCATGGCCTCACACAGTAAGTTTCTGGGAGAATGGGGCGCTGCTGCAGCAATGAATCTTAACCCCAGCTTTTAAAAGCGGAGACGCCCTCTCTACGCCCCGAATCTACAAAGAGCATGGGCATTGGCAGGGCGGGAGGTCATTGAAACTTGTGGTGTGCACAGCAGGTCTTCGCTTGGACCTGCGCCGGCGTGCTCCCTTCTATGGCAGCGACTGGACAGACGCGTTCAAACCGGAGTGCCTTGGGACCACACAGCATGCGTGGGAGTTGGGGCTGGGTCGCGGTTTGAGTCGGTTTGCAAGCCGGCAAGTGTCGCTCGGTGGATGTTCAGGAGTAAAGAAGAGAAAAAGAAGAGCGGGGCTACGTTGCAAGACAGCACGTTGTAGAGCCAGCGTGTGCACTTTGGAGCCAGATTGACTCAAGGAACTTCCAAAAAACGCTCTCGACGATCCTCTACCTCTTCATTGCCGCTCTTGCTCCGGCGATCACGCTGCCTGCCACTCTTGGGGGTTCAAGGTTTTTGGGTTTCTTGCGTCTTCGGAGCCCAACGCTGCCGCGTGTTATTTAAGCATGGTGTTGGGCTTGTGGAAGCTTGTTTGTGAGGCTAAGGGCCTGTCGCGTGCCAAGGGCTTAGCCAAATTCAGCGGATGGTCGTGAGTTGCATGGTTGAACCTTTCAACCCCCCATCCCCACCCCCCCCCCCCCCAAAGAAAATAAAGGTTGCTCCAGAAGCAGGGAAACAATCCAGAACAGTCACGCATTCCGCGCCTCCAAGGGGTACTCGACGCCATACAAGTACATGTAATGTACCCCTAGCTGCTGACCCCGCAAAACCGCCTAGACCTGGCACCGGATGTCTGATTCATCTAGATGGCACTCCAGTCTTTGTACTAACAAAGCAGTCAAGGCAGGCAGGATTAAACCCTGCTCTGCCCGCACCTGGAGAAGTCGTCTCTCACTCTCTCTCACTCTCTCACTCACTCACTCACTCTCACTCTCTCACTCACTCACTCACTCACTCCCTCACTCTCTCACTCACTCACTCACTCTCTCACTCACTCAGTCTCTCTCTCTCTCTCTTTCTTTTGCTCGCTCTGTTGCTCTCTGTCGCTCGCTCTGGCTCTGCTGGAAATCCAAAGTTTGCGTGTTTTCATTCTAACATGCAAACGGCGCTCCTTTGCAGCGTCGATTCCCTCAAGAAAAAATCGGCTGTGGTACTCCCAGTGTCTGGAGAGGGAACCGGTGATCAGCCCAGGGTGTAAAGGATGAAGTCAACCATTCCTAGCAAAGGGGAAGAGCATAGTCTTCTCACAAAGAGACCATGTTCCTTCGTAGCACATGGCTGACTTTGTGGTAAAAGGCCCACGAAGAAAGACCTTGGAGCTTACGGCTTGTGAATGTGTATGAGAGGTCTGGAAGTCCAAGGGATTGAATCCGAATTGGGGTGGGGACTTGAATTCTAGGGTGTTTAGGGGTCAGGGTTTGGGGATTGGCGCGCGTTGAAGGTTTGGAAGCCGCTTCCTCGATGGAACCAACGGCCAGTTCGGAGTGCCTTGCAGAGTTTTGCAGTTTGCCTTCAGCCCCCCCCACATGTCAGCCTCCAACAAACCGATACGGCAAACCCTGCCAGGCCTCCAGCTCAAACATCCCGAACAGGCCCCAAGCTCTAAACCTTCCAGGCCTTCAACACTCCATTAAGCCCGGCTTGGGCTTGGGCTTGGGTTCTAGGGCCTTGGGCCCTCAGACCTATATAGACCCTAGCCTTCGCAATTAAATGGAGCCCTGGAATCCTCTTGTGTGACCCTTGTGCACATGAAAGGCCAGTGACAATCTATAACGGCCTTTGAGCAGCATGCCCAGAAACACAAGCCCAGAAGCCCAGGAGCCCAGAAGCCCAGAAAGCCCAGAAAACCCAGAAGCCCAGAATCTGAACCCACCCCCCCTCCCCCACAAGCAGGTGCTTGAGATGATCATGTCCACGTGCCTCAGCGGCCTCCTCTTCTCCGCGCTCCTCGGTGTGGAATGCCAGGGTTTTGGTTTTCAGGTTTTCCAACCTTGGGGGCTTTAGGGTTTAGGATGGTTTAGGGTTTAGGGTTTAGGGTTTAGAGTTCAGGGTTTAGGGTTTAGGGTTTAGGGGCTTAGGGCTCAAGCTGCCTCTCATGTGACGTATTTACCCTCGGCTAAGAAATGCTGAGCTCATGTTCTGACATCGAGGGGTGTGTGCTCGAGCAACCTGCCTGCCTTGGCAAAGCCCGTGCTTGCTCACAGCCTTTCTTTTGCAGGTGTTCCAGGGCGAAGTAGCTACTGCAACACCATTGCCACACACGCATCCTGGAGCGGATACAGCTGCCCGAAAGCTGTTCCGTGGCTTTCGAAAACCCCGTGCAATGGTCTCCAATCTTGTTATCTGCTAACGCCTGCTCTCCTCAAAGGTTGGACTGGCCCGCAAGCCCTGCCCCCGTGAACCCCTGGGCTTACGGATTCTTGGGATGTAAAGTTAAAATATTCCGCCTTAGACTAAGAGTCCTTAAGAGGGATTACAATAGGGGTACCATAATCCCCAGTAAGGAACTGCTAGTAAAAGGGGGGGGGAGCATCCCAAATGGAGAGTTTTGCCGCAGTTGGGCCTTCAACTTCAGGACGGCTGGCCAACCGCTGTCAATCCTCGGTGCAACCGGGCCGTCCGGAGCTTAAGGGGATGGCTGAACATGGCGCATTCCTTGGGGCACCTGTTTGATTTTTGGGTTTCGGTCTCAGGGCTTAAGGTCGAAAAGTTGCAGGACTGCCAGTTCAGGCTTTGGAAGCTTCTTTGCCTTAGGGCTTTTGGAAGTTCAGTTTAGGGCTGATTGGGCCTTTTTGGGGCTCGGGAGAAAGAAGCCTCACGTAGTTGTAACCCACCTCCGGCAGGCTCCCATGTTGCAAGCTCCCTTACAAGCCCAGCCCTCTCTGGGTGGAAGCCCAAAGAGGGTTTAGGGTTTAGGGTTTAGGGTTTAGGGTGGTTTTGTTATGTTCTAGGTTCGCAAACTCTCAATCCGAGACATCCCCACTCTGTTGACTCTTCAGCGCCACAGCAATCCCGCAACTTGGGCTGTTCCCCCTGGGCATTGTACTAGGGGGTACTATAATCCATGTTGAGGACTGTTCGTGTAAGGGGGAACATCCCCATCCGCAACCCTTGTGCGCTCGCCAATCCCAGTCCCCGAGGTTCCTGGCCTACAGCCTGGTGTGCTATGACCTGGCCGTGGCCGCAGCTCGGTAGCCCCCAGAGTCCGGGCCTTCTTGGGAGTCACGGAATAGACGGAGTTGTGTTGATGGTCGAGCCTGCCTGGGAATCTGCTGTGTCGCACTTGTGCTTGAGGGTGCGGGACATTCCGGGTGGCTTCAGGCGTTTTCAATTCAGCGATCCCCTTTTTGAAGCACCCAGGCCCCGACATCAACCCAACAAACTGCGCCATCCCTCATGTGTGGCCGCGTCGACACCCTCCCCCCTCAGAAGTCGCCCGCGTCGCCGCCTAAACTTCCCAAACGACCATCAGATGGACTTGGAGTTCTTGCCCTACTACTTCTGGGTCTGCATGTGGTGCTCGTTGTTTACGATTCTGGTGTCGATCTTCGACCTTTGCGCCCTCATGAAGCACGTGACCATGTTCAGCGAGGACGCCCGTTCGCAACGAAGGCTTGACAGGAAAGGGTTGCCGGGTTTGCGGGCTTAGGGGTTGATCAGGTGAAGGCAAGCCAGGCTGCGAGCAATTCTGTGAAGGCTTTGCTTGTGCAGTGTGAGCTGCAGCACTTGAACGAGGCATCTTGTGTGTGGCCACTGCTGTGTGCAGACTTCATGGCAGTGTGATCATGTCCCGAATGCGAGCAGAAGGGGTTCGCTTGTATTCCAGGGGCCACGCGCGGGCGTCGCGCATGAGCTGCTGTTGACGAAGCCCTCGGGGTGAGCCATCCTCCTGGGGTTTTTGCTTCTTCGTTTGGTGTTGACGCCTCAAAAGCACTGACAGCTGACAGCTACGAGGATGAGGCACGTGCCGGGGATCGCCATCCTCGCAGCTGTTGTCACTTTTGGAGCTTGGATCTGCGTTAAGCCATCAGAAGGGCTGACAGTTACAGAGGATGAGGCACCCGATGATCGCCACCACCTTATTGCCAGGGTGGGATACCGCTTCTTTCTTAGCTGTAGAAACAAAGTTCGTTAGAAGCACTGAACAGCACAGAGGAAACAGTTCTTGTGCTGCACCGGACGTCGTGAAAAGCCATCACGGCATCTGCCCAGACCCACGACTTTCTTACGGTCGTGGAAGCAGTCTTTTTTTATTACTACTATTATCATTATTATCATTATGATCATTATTATCATTATTATCATTATTATCATTATTATCATTATTATCATTATTATCATTATTATCATTATTATCATTATTATCATTATTATCATTATTATCATTATTATCATTATTATCATTATTATCATTATTATCATTATTATCATTATTATCATGATTATGATTATGATCATTTTTATTATTGCTAGTATTATGAGTATTATGATTATGTTTATTAGTAGTATGATTATGTTTATGATTATTATGATTATGATTATGATTATGATTATGATTACAATGATTATTATGACTATGATTATGATTAGGGTTATGATGATGATCATTATGATTATTATGATTTTTATGATTTTTATGATTATTATGATTATTATGATTTTTATGATTTATGATTATCATGATTATTATGATTATTATGTTTTTTTTTTTATGATTATTATGATTATGATGATTATGATGATTATTATGATTATTATTATGATTATTATGATTATTATGATTATTATGATTATTCTGATTATTATGATGTTAATTTTTTACTTATTAGTATACTAGTATACTATGAGAACGTGTTTGAACCAGACCGTGCGACCACCTGGGAGGCAGGCACCCCAAGAACCGATGCAGGCCGTCTGACCCCAGAGAGCCTCACCCACGTAAAGCGTTCGCAATTTTCAAGCAACATATCCCTGCGTTCATTGTTCACACTAATTCCCGTCAGGAAGTCATGAGAATAGGAGTTTGTTTAGAAAGTGGGACGCTGTGCTTTTTTACGAGTGGAAGTTGTCAGGATCAACCAGGAGTGAGAGAGAGAGAGAGAGAGAGAGAGAAAGGTAGAGAGATAGAGAGATAGAGAGAAAGAGAGATAGAGAGAAAGAGAGATAGAGAGATAGAGAGATAGAGAGATAGAGAGATAGAGAGATAGAGAGATAGAGAGATAGAGAGATAGAGAGATAGAGATAGAGAGATAGAGAGATAGAGAGATAGAGAGATAGAGAGATAGAGAGATAGAGAGATAGAGAGATAGAGAGATAGAGAGATAGAGAGATAGAGAGATAGAGAGATAGAGAGATAGAGAGATAGAGAGGGGGGGGGCCTCTTCACTGGGTAGAAGAAGAAGAAGAGAGAGAGAAGGAGAGAGAGAGAGAGAGAGAGAAAAAACACACACACACACACACAACCACCACCACTCCACCACCACCACCACCTTCACACAGGACACACACCACGATCGCCGCCGTCGGGGGAACACAGAGAACCCACAGAAGAGTACTCATCGTCACCGGAGAGCAGAAGGGGGCGAGCCAGACTACGACGCCGTGGACCACCGCTACCAGAAGATGTGGATTCGCGAAGAAGAAGAAGAACACATGAGGGGGCCAGTAGTCACTAAGGCATAGGCTTTTGCCTGAGAGCGCGGGGCACAGAGGGGGGAATGATTGTATCACAAGCTTTGGGGGCATGTCAAGGGGGAGGATGGAGGGGGAAGATCGTGAACCCCGGCGCGCGGCTCTAAGACGCTGCAAGACTGCACGGGGGATCACAGGCAAACAGGTCTTGGACCCCATACTATCACCCAAAGTGGCCCGTGAAGAACGCGGAAGCCACGCCCAACAAACCGTGGCCTTCGCGCGCCCCTGGGGGCGGCCTTCTCCTTCGGGAGGGGGCCAAGCGTGCAGAGAGAGAGAGAGAGAAAAAATAATATATATATATAGAGGGGCACCGACTTTCCTGGAAGAGGGCGCTCAAGTGCACAGTAGAAGAAGATGGAGAGACAGAGAGACAGAGAACAAGAGCGATGGAGAGTCATAGACAGAGACGGAGAATGACATAGTTAACAGACATCAGTTCGGATCTCTTATCGTGCGCCGCGTCCGCTATGTTCGCCATGTACGTGACGCGTGTCTGCAGTCGGGTTCCCGGCCCCTACCAGGTTTTGCCGCTCCTGTTTGTGATACCATTGAAGCTTTCGCTTGTGCCTGCGCACCGTAAATCGTAAGCCCAAAGCCCTAAAGCCTACGAAGACCCTGAACCCTAAACTCTAAGTCCTAAACCCAAAACTCTAATCGCAAGAAGGACATCTTTGCCGGCCTCATCTCCCTTATCTTTATCATTGACGGAGTGTTGCCAATCATTCGCAACTTCACAGACAAGCAGATGAGCTTAAACGCTGCGATGTTCGAGACGCTGCTCTTTGTGTACACCTTCGGTGGCCAGACTGCGAGCAGACCCCGATACCACACATTGACCTTCACCTGAATCCCACGGGAGAGACACTGAGCCCCTTACAGCCACTTTGTCCCCCTTCTGGGACCCACCCCAAACCCCTAAACCCCAAACCCCAAACCCTACTAAACCCTAAACCCCAAACCCTAAACCCTAAACCCACACTCAGTGCAGTGCTGGCACCAAGGCCTTGCCTCGTACCTCTCGTACTTCCGTCGCACCCCATGGCTCATTCGAGCCCTCCGCATCTGGGAGGTCGTTGAGAAGTTCTTTGAGGGTTTAGGGTTGAGGGTTTAGGGTTCACTTCAAGGGTTTAGGGTTTAGGGTTTAGGGTTTAGGGTTTAGGGTTTAGGGTTTAGGGTTTAGGGTTTAGGGTTTAGGGTTTGGAGGGTTCACTTCAGGGGCTTGTCCAGGAAACCTCATGGCCAACTTTGCGGTGACCATTGCATTGGTGTCTGCGTCCGCCCTGGCAGCCATCTACTCTAGCGACACGAACCTGCGCATGCTTACCGTTGATGCCGACTTCTCCCCGTCCTTCACGCTGGTCACTGGCGAGAAGCGCAACTGGATCGTGAACCCCATGGGCATTGAGAAGGACTTCCCCTTGTGGGGCATCCCGTGCCTTCGAAGAAAATGAATGCCCCATGCTTGTTTGGTTTTCTTCGTGGTCGAACTTGACTTTTCAGAAATTCAGTTGCTTGCCCTGGTTTCTTGCTCACCTGACGTTGCGACAAATATTACACACAAATCTTCCACCAGGTATGCCATCATGCCTGCGATCGGCTTCGCAGTGTTGGGTTACTTGGACCAGAGTCTCGATGCACTCAGTGACGTGCGTGCTCGCGAAGAGATGTGGGAAGACCTTTTCACGGGTGAGGTGGATAAGTGCGGCACCCCTTGCCCTGGAAACCTGCCTCTCGAACATTCAACCTACGAACCGTAGTTGATACCATCCTTTCATGGATGGCAGTTTTTTGATGCATTTTTTGCTCTTGTTCTTCGGCATGAACTTTCCTTTTACACTCTTTGGCTTCCTTCAGTTCTTTGCTCTCTCGACCTGTTGCTTTCAGCTTTCTGGCTTTGCATTTTTCGCTGCTACCCGGTGCCCTGATGTGCTAGAGGGTCTGCCGTGATGGAACCTGGTACGCAAGCAGCAGGAGGAGGAGGAGTAGGAGGAGGAGGAGGTCGCAATACAGGAAGCGATCAGCCTTGCAAACCCACAGGATGCTGGTGGATCTGAAAGACCTAAACCATGAACCCTAAACGCGAAACTATCTACACTAGGGAGAGGATATGCCACAGGGTAACCCCCAAATCAATAACAACCTTCATGAAACGTCTGCTTTCAGGCAAGCACAGCACAGAATAAACCTTTGCTTCCAGGAACCTTTCGCAAGTATCAACGTCTGCATTTCGGTACTGAGTTTGCATTCTGGAATCCACGATCCCATGCAGATCCTCATTGAAACCCGATTCAAGCGCTTCTACATCAGAAAACGCAGCAGTTGCACTCTTCACGGGTGGGTGTCGTGCGGCGTGGAGCCGTGATCTCCCAGCATCTGGTGATGGACGTTTGGCAACTTCAGGTTTGGTAGCCTCAAACCCAACATGCAAGGAATCTGACCAGTGTCATCGTCAACCGGCCCTCCAACGGCCTGCCTCTTGTCTGCCATTTGGAGTTGCATAGGGGCTTCCGGGGGTGGGGGGGGGGGGGGGGGCCGTGTCACCTGCACATGCGAAACCCAAGCCCTGTGTTGAAGCCTGGTTTTTCCTCCGACATGAGGTTGGCTAAGTGCGCGTGCTCAAACCTTTAGAGCTTGAAGGTTTGGGGTTCAGTTGCCAGATGCTGAGAATTGCATGCGCAGGCAAAAGCCGCCTGGCTATCACTTGGATTCTGGACTGCTTTAGAAAGTGATTTCGTATTTTTCTGGTTCTAGTAGCAAGTTCGCAAAAGTTGCCATTCTTCTCGGGTCTTCAAGAAGAGTCCAGGATTTGTTCGTTCGAGGGGCGCTGACGCTGCCAGCTTGCGCTGTGCCACTTGGCTCGTGTCCAGTGGCGAAGCAAGTGGCTCATTCAGGTGTTGGCTCCAGTTTTTTGCGGAAGGCCACGGGAAGTTGTAGTTGTAGTACAACATACAGTACCGGGAAATCGCAGCGGCACCTGCTTAACCACGTATGGGTTCCTGTTCAAACACGCAGAAGGGGCCCAAGGAAGAACGTAGGGTACGACTCTGAAGATTCGGAGAATTTTACGCACCCTTCATGTATCCGAACAGCTCCTTGCCGCTTGCCCCCAAGAAGCAAAAAAGATCTTGGCGAGCTCACTCCATGATGCTTTATAGGTGTTCTGCAAGGTCCCAGCCTCCCAGCCCTAAACCCTAAACCCTGAACCCTGAACCCTAAACCCTAAGCCCTAAACCCTAAGCCCGAAACCCGAAACCCTAAACCCTAAACCCTAAACCCTGAACCCTGAACCCTAAACCCTAAACCCTAGACCAGGCTCGGCCTCCCTTTGTCCGTGGCCTCCACTGTGCCCAGCATCACGCACGTGATCTCCTTGACCACTTATGAGGTCCGCGACATGGATCTTGCATGGGCCTTTGTGAGGGTTTAGGGTTTAGGGTTTGAGTTTGGTGTGGGCCACTGTGGTGATGCAGGGTATCACGATGATTGTCTGAAAGTGCAGGTAGAGGCTTGCAGGCAGAGTTTCCAGGTTGCGGGGCTCAACACGAGAATTGCAGCATGAAAGGCCAGCTATTGCAACTAGCGACGTCTGCACTACCAGTGCCAATGTGGAGCATCCAACAGAATCATCAAGGGCCCTAGATGCTACAAGTTGCTGGGCCCGAATGAACTCGGAGGCACCCTCAGCCCTAAACCCTAATTAAATTAAACCCTAAACCCTAAACCCTAAACCCTAAACCCTAAACCCTAAACCCCAAACCCCAAACCCCAAACCCTAAACTAAACCCTAAACCCGAAACCCCAAACCCTAAACCTGCCCCAAACCCTAAACCCTACACACCGCCAAGCCCCCGTGCCGAAGCCCCCAGCCAGGTGAAGCAGCTGCCGCAGGGCGAGCGCAAGGTGCCGGCCAAGGCACCCCACATAGAGGTTTCCGAAGAGGCACCTTTTTGGGGTCCTTATCATATGGGAATCCTATTATTTGGGGTTTATATTCGGTCCCTTAGTTTGGTAAACCCCCACTTGAGCTCTAAGAGTTCAAGCAAAACCGCAGGGCTTTGGGGGTTTTAGGATTCTGGGGCATTTTTCGGGGAAGTTTCAAGATTTGAGGGTTGGCAGAATATGCTTTTGGTTGTCCTTGAGACGGAGCTGCAGTGAAAAAAGCGCTTGGAAAGGTGGTCGAGCAGCGGGCTACGAACTTCCTGCCGCTCTGCTGACAGACTTCGGCGTTGGGGATGGAGGATTCGGGGGAGTGGAGGTTTAGAGGTTCAGGTCTGTTCAGTGTGCAGGTTTCCAGCAAAGGTGCTCTAATCGTTGAGAGGCTGCCCTCCAAAACTTGGACACGAGACCCTAAATCGACAACTGGCATCCTCCAATGGAAAGTCAGGGTTTAGAGGCTTCAGGTTTTGAGTTCCGTAGTTCTCTGCCTTCTACCTTCGAGTTCTGGATCCAGATATTGGAAGCTTGCGCTGAAGTTCGCTTTGGTTCCCCCAAGAACCTGAAGCCAAAAGCCACAAAAGGCACTGATGTGCCCGCAAAAGGTTGCAAAGCTACGTTTTCAAACTTCTGCTTGGCAAGCGAGGAGAAGTCCGGCTGAGGAACGCTTAATTTCCCCCGCCTACCTCCCGAATGCTTCGTCCTACACCCCACAAGCCCCTCAGTCCTTCAGTGCATCAATCCCAAACCCTACGGTAAGGCTTGTCAGACCCTAGGCCCTAGGTGAACACTCCAAGCTGAACCCTGCTTTCGAGGCTCAGGGTTGACTTGGGGGATTTTAAGGATTCTCTGTCAGTCTGTGTCTGGAGCATGTAAGGATCCACATCCTCATTGGGTGCGCCCTGTTTATGGCACCGGTTCTGCAACTTGGGCGTGCACTTGCGAGAGGAGATCGTGTTTCTTGTAGGGTCATACCTCAAGTAGCACAAGCTGCGACTCTGAAAACCAGTTGGCGCCTCCAAATGCATTTGCGATCTCAGTAGCTGCACCTGCACCCATGAGCTCTGACGTAAAGCCTTGATTTGCATGTCTCTCTTCGCTGCGCAGCTGTGTGCCGAGGAAGTTCCTTCCCCGAGCCGTCCTCCAGGGCGTCTTCTTCTACATGGGCATTGCCTCCTTGACTGGCAACAACCTCTTCGACCGAATGCCCCGCTGCGCCACGAGGGGTCTTTGGAGGGGCTTTGGAGGGGTCTTTAGAGGGGTCTGGAGGGGGATCTGGGTGATGTTTAGTGTTTATGGCATGGGCCAAACGGCTGTAAGCGCCATGGGTCGAACGTGATAATCGATGGTGGGTTACCCACCTCGACCTTAAGCCCTGCACTTTTTCAATCGTCTGCTCCAAGCCCCTCAAACCCATAATCCCTAAACCTTTCAAGCCATCGGACATAAACTTCACCCGGATGTGGTACCTGACTCTTCCATTCCTCTTCTTACATAGCACCAACTCTATGCCCCCCAACATCCTCCATCCCTGTAAGCGCCTCAACTTCCCATTTACCCTTAGGGTTTAGGGTTTAGGGTTTAGGGTTTAAGGGTTTAGGGTTTAAGGGTTTAGGGTTTAGGGTGGCTACTGGAGCTTGAAGCTTCAGCTTGGGCAAGCGGCCCTGATGGGTTTGAACGGCCTGAGGTTCCTGTGGTTGGTGTGGGACTCGGCCAAGTATCCGCAGTACCACTACATCCAGAAGCTGCCCATCAGAAGGGTCCACCTGTACACCTTCGTGCAGGCAGCCTTTGGCGTTGAGGGTGGGTCTTTGTCACCTGCCCACCCATCTACAGCAAAGCTGATCCCCCAGCGGTGTTCTGCAGCACCCACCTTGAACCCTTGACATCTTACGATTGTCGTCCGGACTCTTTAAACACTTTCTGTCGCATGATAAGAAAGTATCGTTGGCATCGCATGATCAGTATCACTATCAGTGCATGATGGGAAAGGCTGTGGTGTTTTGCATAAATGCCATTTGGCTTCCCACGAGGAGAGTGGTTGCCTTGAACAACAAAAGAAGCTTGTTTTGTCACGATCAGTGGCCATGTTTTTATGGCCTTGATTTGAGTTTGCTTTTCACAAGATCTGAGGTGGGCGTTTCATTTTTTCTCGGAAATATTGATGCTGGTAGTCTCTTTTCTTGTTGTTTCTTGCTGTGGCATGAGGAAGCGTGTATAACACTCAGGAGGACACACATTCCCCAGAAAGCTCACCAAAACCGGGCGCAACACGCGGAAGAATATGCGACATTCACCAATACATACGTGGGAAACCAAAGCCACCTTAATCAACAAGTCTTTCCCGAACCCCAAAGTGCCAAAACCCGGAACCCCAAACCTTGAGCCCCTCAAACCCCCAATACTAAACCTCTTGTCGCACCTTCAAAGAGCCAACCAACACCCGCTCGAGTTCATCTGCTTGGCAATCCTCTACGGTCTCAAAGAGATCAAGGAGCGGTTGGGTTTATGTCTCTTATTGGTTCAGGGATTGGGGACCCTGTCGAGGGTTTGGACTTTTTTGGGCTTCGGGTTTTGCCGAGGAGTGGTTTAAGTCTGAAGAGTCCTCAGGGCTCAGGAGCAACGGGGCGCAGCCATACAAAAACCCAACTCCTTTTAAGGTTTTGGCCCTTGCTCATGGCAAATGCGTGCTTTTCGCGCAATCATCGCCTCCTGGTGCACACTTTCCGTCGGGCAGAAGAGGCAGCTGAGCTACCATTGTCGGCGAAGTTGAATGTTGCTTACCTACTTGGTTGTCGTTTGAGATTTAGGGTGGAAGGCTTATCGGCTGTTTCCAGCTTTGCACGCCCTAAACCCTAAACCCTAAACCCTAAACCCTAAACCCTAAACCCTAAACCCTAAACCCTAAACCCTAAACCCTAAACCCTAAACCCTAAACCCTAAACCCTAAACCCTAAACCCTAAACCCTAAACCTAACCCTAAACCCTAAACCCTAAACCCTAAACCCTAAACCCTAAACCCTAAACCCTAAACCCTAAACCCTAAACCCTAAACCCTAAACCCTAAACCCTAAACCCTAAACCCTAAACCCTAAACCCTAAACCCTAAACCCTAACCCTAGACCCTAAGCCCAAAGCCCAAAGCCCTAAGCCCTAACCCAAACCTTGCCATGAACCTGGCCCTAAGCCCTAAACCCTAGAGCTTCCGGGGTGTGCTGAAACCATGAACCCTTAGCCTCGTGAGCCCGACCCTATCGGCGCTTCCGCCCCCCCCCGCACAAGCCGGGAGCCGCAAAGTCCTCACAGGAGACTGCGGTGGTCTTCCCCTTCTTCATGGCCTCCCTGGCCCTGATTCGCAAGGCCTTTTGGGGGGCTTTTGGGCTCGGAGAGGCACATGCTAGGGTTTGAAAGGGATGGCGCTTGCCTCGTTCTATCGGAAAACGGTTTGTTGTTGCTAAAGGCTCTGTGCTTTTTTTGTCGCCGTTTGCCGAAATCCGCCGTCAGAGTGTTTTCAACACAGCCTACTGGGGATTATGAACAGCCAGACCTTTTGGAGATGATGAACCCTGAGGGCCCAACCGGGGGCAAGTATGAGTAGTCATGTTCGTGTTATTGTTGGTCAGCCGCCCTCACGTGCCAGCCTGCCAGTGGCTGTTGAAGCATACGTTTCCATACTACCGGGCTTGAACATATATCTACTGAGGGGGTTTGCCGGGCACAGTGTTTGTTGAGTATGCCATCCGTGCATGGGATCATGCTGGTCCCAATGGTTCACCTGCTGAACTCCTGCACTTATGGAACCCTAACCCTAGAGCCCAAGGCCCTGAACTTTTTCGTCACTACTGGCACGGTCCGATTGATAGGATTGAGAACGCATCATCACAAGCATAGAAAACTGAAATTGATGATGCAAAAAACTAGACTCGAAGCCTTCGTCCCCAAGTGTTTAGTGCTCCAAGATTGACAGGGGGGGGGGGGTGTACGAAAATTTTGGGACGCCCAAAATAGACCCCAAACAGTGGGATTCCCTGGACCCTGTCGGCTGATGGTTCTTTTTTCGTGTTTTTATTGTTTTTTTTTTTTTTTTTTTTTTTTTTTTTTTTTTACGGTTTTAGGTGAGAACCTAAGCCCTAAACCTTAAACCCTAAACCCTAAGCCCTAAACCCTAAACCCTAAGCCCTAAGCCCTAAACCCTAAACCCTAAATCCTAAACCCTAAACCCTAAACCCTAAACCCTAAACCCTAAACCCTAAACCCTAAACCCTAAACCCTGAACCCTAAACCCTAAACCCTAAACCCTACCCTAAAACCAGGAAAAATACGAAACAACAACCAGAAAAAACACGAAAAAACAAACAACCGGGACCCTGTCGCAAGGACCCTAAGTAAGATACCCCGAAAATTCGGAAGCCGCCAGACAGAACTTGCGCCTTTTCCGTGAGGCCATGCGCTTCATGTTCACCCAGGAGGAGCTGGAGCTGTTGGACGGCCATCCTGCCGAAGACCCGGACGAGGCGCGCGACTTCTCAGAAGAGTCTTCGGGCGCATGATTGTTTTTGTTTTTTCAAACATAGTTTATTTCTTCTTTTTTTGTAGTTAAGGAGTATACTGTTATCTTGTGATAATTTTATCTTGCTAGATTACTCAGGTACTCTATTGTTTCATTATTCTACTTTTTTGTTTGATTCAGTATTTCATCATTCCATATTCCATTATTCTATTACTATGACTACTATATTCATATATTCCGTTTCAGAGATCATTCTCATTAGTATTCTAATTTTACTCTCATATTACATACACTGTTATATTCTCACAGTTATGGTTATTATATTGATACTATTATTGTTCTGGTTCTACGATTCTATAATGACATTGTCTAGTACATTGTTACAAGAAGATGTATTGACACAATTATTGCTTGGCCGAGACGCTCCGCAGAGCCCAAGGCTTTTCTTTGGCAGCGCGAGCTTAAGGGTTTTCAGCTGTCGTTGGTTCCTTTAGCACAACTTTGCCGCGATGGGTGTTCGAGGGTTCTTTAGTGTAGTTACATTTTCCCTTAGTTTGGGCCCTTAAAAGGGCCACTTTCATACCCCCTGTATACCCTATACAGCCCAGGGGCTCATACTTCAGAACCCTTTAAAGGAGGTAAGGGACATATTCAGCGACCATATTCAGGGCCCATGAAACTACCCTTAGATGAGTCTACTCCCTGGGTCCGTGAGACGACCTCCGGGTGAAAGGCTCAAGGGCCTGTCACGGAAGCGAAGCTACGTCGAGTCCAGACCCCCGAACCCTAAAACCCTAAACCCTAAACCCTAAACCCTAAACCCTAAACCTTAAACCCTAAACCCTAAACCCTAAACCCTTACCTCTGTTGGTGTACTCCAGAAGCCCATGACTCCGAGGCGTCGGTGGTCGCCGAGCAGCCAGACATCTTGAACTTGGAGCCGGTGAAGGACTGCCCGGATCCAACGACTCAACGCTCAAAAGCCCCGAAGCCGCGAAGCCCCAGTTAGGGTTTAGGGTTTAGGGTTTAAGGTTTAGGGTTTAAGGTTTAGGGTTTAGGGTTTAGGGTTTAGGGTTTAGGGTTTAGGATTCAAGCCTTTCAGGCTGGAAAAGGCTCAAGGCCCCCATACCATACCTTCGAATGCGCTGGGTGCCAAGGGTAGTGGGTGCTCAGCGGGTGCAGAGTCGACGAAGTTTGTGGGGCTTTCTTGGGTGATCTTCTTGTTTTGAGTCGCGTTTTTTGGCGCAGAGGTTGTAGGGCCTTGGGGAGGCTAAGGGTTTGGGGGTTGAGAGTTGGGGTGGCTTGCCATCGGGCAACCGGCAAAGCGTAGTACTGGCATCTGCAACGTTCCTTGTTCTTGGGGGTAGGAAAGTTTCGGCTTCATGCGTGGCACGCGCCTTTGTGTTCGGGATGCACCTTTTCCAAAGGAGGCCAGCCAGCCCGAGACGGTGGAGGAGCAGCCGGAGAAGCCGGAGAAGCCGGAGAAGCCCGAGCAAGTTCCTGAAAAGACTGGCCTCTCCTTGTGAGTCCTTCAGTAGCCTGAGGAGAGGAGAAACAAAAAATCGCAGGGTTTAGCTTAGGACTCTGAAGCGTGGCCCTCCCGTGGCTCGTGTGCAGTGTGTGGAAAAGGTTGGGGGGCATGTCTGGATGGACGAAAGTTCATACCGACAATGTTGCGCCTCGAGAGCTGCCAAGGCTCGGGGTTTTAAAATGATCTTGGCCTCTGAATGCCTGGATTTTCCGCAGAAAACTGTTCAGAGGGCTGGCTTTGCGCCTGGACATCCACTCTGACAGCCTGCGCGCGTTGATTCTTCGGCCACCATTCCCAGAAACCACTCTTCAGCGATATTCGAGGCATCTTGAGGGGCTGCGGGATGATTCGTGGGATGTGGGGGCAGTGTATCTTCCAAGACCGTTTTGGTGCCAAAGGCCTGCCCGAAGGGTTTATTCAAGGCTGCGGCTGAATACTCTCGTAGCTTGGAGCCCAGCCACACGGCGACAGATTGGCCCCAAAGTTTAGAAAGGTCATGATGAAGGAAATGATTGATGATGCGTTATTTTGGCTAGACTTCTCATGCGGGATGCCGTGTAGCTTGTGGCTTTCTTACAGCCGGAAGAGGGGAGCAGCTTTTCTTTGTTACCTCTGCTTCTTGGCGCGACACCCATCCAGGACTCCACATGTCGCCAAAGCAACCGACTTGTCCGGACCTGGTGGGAGTCAGACACAGATCGACACTCGCGCGAGCGAAAAAGTTTGCCACCCCAAGACCGGGGTTCTAGCCATGATGGGATGGATGTCCAGCAGCTTGCTGAAACCTGCCGTGTACCATCTCTGCAGGCCGGCAGTCTTGCACAGGTCTCCGCTTGGGTCGCAGCGTGACCCAGGCTGTAGGGTTTAGGGTTTAGGGTTTCGCCGGGTTGCCCGCGCTAGCCTGCGCGTCCTCATTCTTAGCAGTGCCCTGTGCTCACAATCCGTCAGTGCTGGTTGCCTCCTGTTATTACCATGACCACTACCACTACGACCACGGCTACGGCCATGACAAAGACGACAACTAATATGACTACTGCTGATGACTACTGCTGATAATTATATCATCTTTATTCATTTTTTTGGCTGCGAATTTTGTCGTAGCTGATACCGTTTTTGGCATGTTTTGGCGTGTGATCAACCCTGAAAAGGCGCAGGGGAACGAGGCCGGAACGCAAAGTTGTGCACGGAATGTGCACAGAGCGCGGCTGCGATGCGAGGACCATGCTACCTACTTACGATGTTTTGGCGTGTGTGCGACGTCCGTGGGTTTTGCGGGTTTTGCAGAGTGTTGCGGAACGCAGAGCGCCTGGGCGAGGGCTTCTCGGGCACGCAGAAACACCGAGAGGTTCGTCGTCATGTATGCGCGCGCACCGCCTGGGCGAGAGTGTCAGAGCTCACCGGAAACACCGAGAGGGTCTTCGATGTCGACGTCTCGTGTGCCTGGAGGGAGGCTGCCAGGTCGACCTATCAGTATGACGGCATGGACCGCAAGCAGCGTAAGGCCACTAAGGCGAGAGCACGATTTTTGAACACTGCAAATGATATCCCTGTAGAATGGATGCGTGAAACGAAGCTGCCCAAGAGCCGAGAGGCATGAAAGTTGTTTTGACTTGGGGGTGGTTCAAGCCTCAAAATGTGCATGTGAGGTGGCCAAACACTTCACTCTTGCCCAGCTCTCTGACTGGTAAACACAAGGCTTGGGAAGTTGCAGGTGTCTTGGTTCAGTGCGCACGAGCTTGGTGAGTTTTGTGCCTCGGTGCAAGCTGCAAGCCATGACAACATACAGCAGCAGCACCTGGTCAACATCCCTACAGCTTTCTCAACACACGTACATATGGAGCAATGTTATGGAGCAGCTTTTCTCAATGACATCTAGGTTTCATGTTGTTTTAAGCAAGCACTTGGGCTTGCTTGCCATGTATGCAAGCTACGGTGCCACTTGTGCATGGAATGGCTGAGCTTTCCAGGGCTGTCAGAGGAGGCTGAGCGTGGTGAGTGTGGCTCCTTGCGAGGAGTGTCTTGTTGAATCACGACATTGCGTGCATATCATGCTTGCGTTTCCCATCTCTGTTGGCCCAGGGTTGGTCAGCAGCAGCACAGAGTCTGCCAAAGAGTCTGCATCTCAAGGCGCAGCCTTGCTGTGTAAAGTTCCGACCCGCTGATGGTCAGCTTTCGTCTCATCAAGTACTTTACCTCGTGAGCTTCGATAAGTATGTGAGGCACAACAAGAAGTTCAGCAGCTTCTTCGCCAAAAAAGGTGCCGATTCCTCTCATGTTAACAATTATGTCACGGCTGAGCATTTCAGGAGTGCTTGGTGTATCCATCATCCCCTGCAGGTTCCGATGCCCGCCTGCTGAGATATTGGATGGTCTGCTGGGCGATTTCGGGCTTGGACCTGAGTTGCTACATGCTGGGTTTTCCGTACTCTTTGCTTAGGAGCACAGCACTTTAAACATTCAGGTCTTCGCAGGTTGCAGAGCTCCACCCAGCAGAGGAGACACGTGCGCTTCTGGACACTCCCTGAGTTTGTTGTGGTTCGGTTCCTCTCCCAGGAACCAGCCACTTTGCAGCAACTGGACAAGGTCCTTACGGCAGCAGCTAGCCGAGCTCCGTGCCCAGTCGCTTGGGTCTTGTTCCGTGGGCGCGTGCAGTTGGCGCCGCGGTAGGTTTAGTTTAGGAGAAGAGGGGGTCAAATTTGCAAGCTCAGGCAAGGCCTTTACGGGTGCTTTACGGTTTGTCCGTCATGACGGTCCAGTGATGCCCCACTTTTCAGGACCCAGGTCGGATTTGGAGATCGCACGAGAGGACCTTCAACCGTTTGCTTTGTGCTGCCAGTACTGGATGAGGTCCCGCGGCTCGGGTCACTTCAAGGCCGCACAGGAGCCCTCCTCCACCAGGTGGGTAGGGCTTAGTGATGACATCAAAGCCTCATTCGGGGTGTGGAGCCGCACGTGGCGGGCGTAGGGAAGAAGAATAGCCCTGCCTACTTGGGGAAGAGAGAGCCCTAGCATAACCACAACAGCCCCTTCAGAACCCAGTGGTGTGCAGCAGCATGCTCAAGATCCCCCCCGCGTTGGTGTTACCGGACACGATGGCTGGGCCAGAGCTCAGCGCCCGCTCGGCTTCACCGACTTTCCAGGCCTCGGGGAGTTCCTCGCTGACGTTGAATGCGACGGAGGCGAAGCGGAGGACCACGCAGGACAAGAAGCACCTGAAGCGAGCCTTGTCCACCATCGAGAAGGACTCTCTCCGGTGCCTCGGACCGAGCGGTGCCCAATTTTTCCCTACTCACTATGCTTTCTGAGGGGGGTGAGGTTCCCTTAAGCAAAACCAGGGTTCCCTTTGGTCCATTCTGGATTCGGTGGGAACCGAGAGGTACAAGAGCAGCATCTCGAAGCCATGGCTTGATGAGAACGGGGAGGTGATTTGGCCGCAGGCGAGGATCAAGGTGGCCCAGGTCGTCCTCTCGCAGTCCTTTGAGACCATCATGGGCCTCATCATCGTGGCGAATGTTCTGGTCATGATTGTTGAGACCGACGCAGATGCGACTTGCCACACCCCGCTTGCCAAAAATGGCACAGCGACGCCGGAGTACAATATGACCAGCTGCGCGTCCCAAAGTGCCACGATATTATGGCTAGGCATCGTGAACTATTTGCTCCTGACTGTATACACGGCGGAATGTGTGCTGCGCGCGTTCGTGGAGCGGGGTGCCTACCCCTGGAACCGGTGGAATCAGGTGGACCTGCTCACAGTCATCTCGGGATGGGGTGCCACTGTACTAGCTTCCACCCTTCCGATCAATGTTCTGCGAATCCTCAGACTCATCCGCCTGGTACGAGCTGCTCGTGTGGTGATCTCTGTGCCAGAGTTCTACATCCTGGTTTCAGGTTTCACTTCATCCTTTAAGGCGATCTTGTTCGGGTCTGTTATGCTGGTATGTATCATCGTGGTGTGGTCGATCATTGTGGTGGAAGTGATTCACCCTGTGAATGTGTCAATCGACTACGAATCCTGCGATCACTGCAACACTAAATTCCAGAGCGTTTGGTCGGCCATGCTGACGATCTTCCAACAAGTCGTGGCGGGAGATTCCTGGGGAGAGACCTCCTTGCCTTTGGTTGAAACAGACTGGCGGACTATTTTAATCCTGTTTCCCATCATGATGACCATCTCCCTGGGTGCCATGAGCCTTGGCCCAGCAAGTCGGACTTGGGTTCGGACTCTCGCAGAGCTGTGCTGTAGTCATCCTGCGCTCCGAATCACTCAGTGTCCCGTGTGCAAGGAACCTCATCCTCGCAGTCATAGCCACTTGTCAGGCATTGGTGGAGCCTGAACATGGTGGAAGTCATGGTGGCACTAAAGTCGAAAGGTTCGCATGGCTCCCCGCAGCATTCTTGCCACGCTCTTGTGTGTTCAAGCTCTCGTGCCACTCACAGATCGAGACTTCACGGGTGAGGGCTTAGGGCTTAGGTTTGGAGGTTTAGTTTTTAGGTCGGATTGCATTGAGGACGCCGGCATGTGGGGGGTTAACTTGAGACTCGAGACTGGATGCAGCCCTTTCCCCGATTGGCTGTATCTTGTGGCTCCAGTGGGCACAGAACTCATTCAGAGCTTGGCTTGTGTTGGTGTTTCTGCCGTAATTTGCAAGAGTCGGTCACTGCTGCGAAGCAGCCCAGCTGCTGCCAGTTCACAGCTGTTGCATCAGGTCGAACGCGCAACCGAGGCGCGGGAGAACGACCAGGCATGAACTTTGATGTGAAAATCGTCAACATACCGCCATGGGACGTTCAAAGAACTCAAAAGCGAACCTAGGTTTGTGGTGGGGTAAGCTTGTGGTGCTCTCGTAAACGGTGTCGAAGACGTGTCCGGCGTACTGTATATGGAAACTGCCATGGGTGTCGCAGCAAGAATCTAAAGCAACCTCGCAGAAAGAGGCTCTTGCACACGCACCCTGACCCTAAACCCTGAATCCGAAACCTAAACCCGCAGCAGGTCAGGAAGGCGCAGAAGAAAGATGCGGAGCGTGAAAGAAGCATGGTAGAACTGGCGCTCCTCTGCGACAGCATGGACAACGACGGACGCATGCCTCCACCAGTATCTCCAAACTGCTTCGTCGTTGCGGTCTCTGCGTTCAGGTTGGTATGTAGCCTCAGCTTACAGGATTTAAAGCTACATGCGAATCAAGTTTGTGTGCGGGCGTGTGACAAGTGCTCTTAGCCAGGCAGGCCGAACATCTCCATGCATTCTTTCGAACCAAACTAGAGAACGGTTGTTCCGACAGCATCTTAGAGTCGTGATTAAGACCTCACTATGTAAAGAAATTATCATCCATCACGACATCCAACACGGCATCTATGACGACCATCCACGGCGACATCCATCACCGACGACAACGAAGAAGTGCTACAAAAGCCATTTTCGACAACACGAAAACACGCAGAGGGTTGTCGTTCATGCGATCGTGTCCACGCAGAGGGTCCTAGTTTTTGCGTTTCGACAACGGCCAAACACGCAGAGAGCTGTCGTTCGTATGATCGCGACCCGTCAAGAGCAAGCAGAGGATCCGAGGCGATCGCAGACTGACTTTGCTGACAAGCCCATTCCCACGATCAAAGCTCGGTCATGTGTAACATGTGCCAACTTCCGATGATCCGACGCTTGTTGTTCTTGCAAGATGTATGTGCTTTTCTTTCCCAAAGAAGCTTTGTACAAGCATGACATCGACGCCTCCAAGCCGTCTACTTCTTCGAGCCCTTCGCGTCACATCCAAGACTGGAGGTCTTGATCCACAACGTGCAGCAAGGTGCCGTCGCTGCCATGCAGCTTCTGGCGAAGTTGACGCATGCCGTCCCATGACGGCGTGAACACGCCGGCAACCTCAGTCAAGATTATCCCCTTAGCTCTCCGACGTTTGGGGTTTGTCACGTGATTCCTGACGCCAAGCCACGACCAACGTCAGGAAACCCTGCCATGCTCTTTGGGTGGCGAGTGTGCTTGTGTCACTCGACAGCTCGCAGCAAAGCCTTGCAACAAAGTGCTGAGCTCAAGTACCGTGCAGCCTGCCCTACGAAGTCTGCCTCAACCCAGAATTGCAGCAAAGGCTCTTGTTCCGGTTCACACCACAAGCTCCAACTTTCCATGTCACCAAGGTCGGCCGTCAAGCCCACGTAAAAGATCGCGCTCTGAAAAGTTGGCAGGGGTGGCATCGTTCACGTGTCACGGATTAGGGCATCTGTTAGACGGGTGAAGCTAGCATCGCAATCTTGAAACGGCTAGAGAAGCAATGACGGCTCAGCAACGCAACTGCAACTTGTACTGTGAAGTACTGCTAGTGCTATGTCCACAGTGCAAACTCTACGTCCGCGATACTTTGTCCAGACACCGTCTCAGGAACCGTATGCTCCAGCAGGTTTCTTTTTAAACGTACTGGCAGGAGCCGCCGCATTTTTGCGGTCAAGCCAGCCTGCGCAACGCCCTGCCGCACACTTGCGTCCGGATGTGCGACGGGTTTCAAATCTATGACGGCCCCTGAGACTGTTTTTCCTGCGCAGCAGCCATAGCTGCTCAAGCTACAAAAGCACCTCCTTCCGTGCAACGCATCCAAAGATACTCTTTCTGTTGTTGCGTCGATGCTTGTCTTCTGGCTGCGACGCGCCAAGAACACGCAGAGGGTCATCGCTTTTGCGTTTCGACAATGCCAAACACGCAGAGGGTTGTCGTTCTTGCGATCACGACACTCCGAGCACATGCAGAGGGTCATCGTTTTTGCGTTTCGACAATGCCAGAACACGCAGAGAGTTGTCGTTCGGGCGATCACGACACTCCGAGCACATGCAGAGGGTCGTTTCGACAACGCCAAAACTCGCAGAGGGTTCGCGTTTTTGCAATTTTTTTAACGAAGTGCGGCGGCTCCCGCCAACCCTTCCCCGTGTTTTGAAACATATTATTTTTGGAGGAAAACCCTCCATCACGCGACGAAATCCATCAAATTTATGACAGCATCCATCACATCATCTATACAAGGACACTCTTTACCGACCACCACCCTCCGCTGAAAAAACCCTGAGGGCCATGCTTTCGGGGAAAAACTCGAGCTACAGGTACGAGGGCAACCTTTTGTGCACAGCCGAGGCAGCGGCACGCTGTCTTTGGAGGAGATGTTAAACGGCTTCGACATCAACATGCACTTCAAAGGCTTGATGGAGCAAATGGACATCACGCGGGAAGACATGGCCACTTGGCAATTGTTGTGGGGGACATGTTTTTTTGGGGAGGAAGAGGCACCCTGCGGCCCATCTGGCTCCCTAGTGGTGTGTCGCATTTTCAACCACGAACCTCTAAATTGGGATTGGCGAAAATAAGGTTATGGACCCCAAAATTCTAGAATCATCTTTATTATAGGAACCCCCGAAAAGGGTACCTCGATTCTCGGAGACCTCTGAATCCACAATTCTCTAGACCTTGAACATCAAGCAAGGAGACGATCTTCAACGTGTTGGACTCGAACCATTCTGGCGAGGTCGACTATGTGGAGTTTTGCCAGCACCTGGGCAACTTTCGCAAGTGCCCTTGCCTGAACAGGGTCTGTGGATTCGGGCCTGAACAGGGGTCTTCTAGGGGTTCAGGGTTTAAGATTTGGGGCTTTCAGGGTTCTTGAGGGTGAGCTTTTTGAATTTGCAGCCCTCCGCCTTTCTGCAGCTGATGCATGAGGCGGGATCAGCACATGATGCCCTCTCTGATCAAGTACTCGATCATGGAGATCCGTCAGGTAATAAAGCGCGACATCGTGCAGATCTTGGAAGAGCACACAGCGGCTTGCTTTCCCCTATGCTCAGTTCGCTTGCTCGTGGGTATTTATAATCATATAGTAGTACAGGAATACATTCATGTAAGAATGTACATAAAATACTCCATTTACAAAAGCATACAATGATATCATGAAAAAAGACATGTGAAACATATTTTTGTAGTATACTTTTTACAGTTTTCCATATAATACAGTTTTATTGTCTAGCATTATACAGTCTTAAGAAATAGAATACTGTTATAGCAGAATGATATCATAACATAATCGTATATCAATACAAAATATGCGAATTTAGTAATACATACATGCAGCAGCAAAGTCCAGGACTTTGCTTTCTGAGCAAATCCGCAGCCCGGACTCGAACAACTGCCCCGAACTGTAGTCCCCCTCCCTGCCACCATAGCATGAAACGTCCACCATACAGGGTTACGCTTACTGTTGGTTAGCAGGGAATGAGGGAATCTGCCCCTTATATATATATATATATGGGTCACCGCCTATAGTGGTTCCCCTGTGTTTTTTGCAGATTCCCTTAAACCATCTAACCGAGAATCCCTCAAACCATTAAACCATTAAACCATTAAACCAATGGTTTCCCCCATATGAGAATCCCCTAAACCCCTAAACTATTAAACCATTAAACCATTAAACCATTAAACCATTAAACCATTAAACCATTAAACCAATGTTTTCCCCCTTATGAAAATCCCCTAAACCATTAAACCATTAAACCATTAAACCATTAAACCATTAAACCAATGGTTTCCCCCTTATGAAAATCCCCTAAACCATTAAACCATTAAACCAATGGTTTCCCCATATGAGAATCCCCTGAACCATTAAACCATTTTCATGGGGGGGCAACCATTGGTTTAATGGTTTAATGGTTTAATGGTTTAATGGTTTAATGGTTTAATGGTTTAATGGTTTAAGGGATTCTCATATGGGGAAAACCATTGGTTTAATGGTTTAATGGTTTAATGGTTTCATGGTTTAGGGGATTTTCATAAGGGGGAAACCATTGGTTTAATGGTTTTAATGGTTCACTGGTTGAATGGTTTACTTGTGCTCCTGCCGAGGTACCTTGACCGCATCTTTTCTGCTCCTAAAATTCTGATTGGCAAGCAGTGTCGCCTGTATCTTTTCTGCTCCGAATATTCTGAATCGCAAGCAGTGTCCCCCGTATCTTTTCTGCTCATAAGTATACGTATACCATATGGGATTACGCCTTAAACCCTAACTCCTTAAACCCTAACTCTATAGGGTTTAAAGGTTAGGGTTTAGGTTGAATTGCCGGTATAGGTATAAATGCTTCAACCTTAAACCCAACCTGTGAACCTTAACCCTATAGGGTTGGGGTGCCTACATCATCATCGGAATTGACGAGCTGTGCGGAAATGTCTATATGACAAGGTTATAATTTATTGCTGTGGTTATAACTATGGGTTAGGGTTTGGTTTTTTACACACTTATGTAAACCCATAACAAAAAAGGGGAACCCCATCGCGCCCCAACAAGCGAAATATCCGAAATACTTTACCTGAGCTAAAATATCTCAAGCAACCATCCCCCGATACGCAAAACCTGAATTCCATCATTTAACGATATAGTTTGTTTATATGTTGAATCCCAGCAAGTAGTGAAAGTGACGAGCTCTGCGGAAATAACCATATGACAAGGTTATAACTTTTTGCTGCGGTTATAACTATGGTTCAGAGTTTGATTTATATACATGTAAATAAACCTATAAGAAAATGAGGGTAACCCCATCACGCCCCAATAAGCAAAACAAAACCTCTATCCGAAAAACTTTACCTTACCTTAGATAGCTCAAGCAACCATCCCCCGACAAGCAAAACTTGAATTATCCTCTTTGTTTATATTTTGAATCCCATCAAGTAGGAAGGACATTTGCTCACAGTATTCTCGCGTCACCGGGACGAAAGCCCCACAAACGTAGGCATAACCCTATGGGATTTAAGGTTTAGGGGTTTCAAGGTTCTATGTTATAGGAAATTAATGCCCAAACCTTAAACCTAAACCTTTAAAACCTATAGGGTACAATGGTTCGACAACCTAAGGTCTGGGCATGTATACCTTCAGCACCCTTTAGGGTTAAAACCTTTGAACCTTTGGGAGCCCTATGGGGTTTTACGGTTCTGACCCTAAACGAATCAGGGTTAAGGTCTAAATGCCCGAAGTTTAAACCCTTAAGGGTAAAACTCTTTGGGTTTTCGTTTTAAATGCCTAAATCCTAAACCCCAACCCCTTAAACCTGAACTCTAGAGGGTTTACAGGTTCGGGTTCAGGTTGAATTGCCGGCTTAGGTTTAAATGCCTCAATCTTAAACCCTAAACCTGTCAACCTTAACCCTATAGGGCTGGGGCGCCTACATCATGATCAGATTTGACGAGCTCTGCGGATATATGTATGTGACAAGGTTATAACTTTTTGCCGCGGTTAAACTATGGTTCAGGGTCTGATTTATTTACATGTAAATAAACCTATAAGAAAATGAGGGTAACCCCATCACGCCCCAATAAGCAAATCAAAACCTCTATCCGAAAAACTTTACCTTGGCTAAGACATCCCAAGCAACCATCCCCCGATAAGCAAAACCTGACTTCTATCATATAACGATATGGTTTGTTTATATATTGAATCCCAGGAAGTAGTAAAAAGGACATTTGCTCACAGTATTCGCGCGTCACCGGGCAGAAAGCCCTACAAGCGTAGGCATAACCCTATGGGTTTTAAGGTTTTGGGATTTAAGCCCCAAGCCCTATAGGTCTTTAAGGTTCTATCGTACAGGTAATGCCTAAACCTTAAACCCTAAGCCTTTAAACCCTGTAGGGTTGAATGGTTCAAGAAAACCTAAGGTCTGGGCATGTATATCTTCAGCACCCTTTAGGGTCAAAACCTTTGTTCCTTGTAGAGCCCTATCGGGTTTTAGGGTTCTGACCCTAAACGGTTCAGGGTTAAGGTTTAACGCCCGAACTTTCAACCCTTAAGGTTAAATCTCTATGGGTTTAGGTTTAAAGTCTAAACACACCTAAATCTTAAACCGTAACCGCTTAATCTTAACTCTATCGGGTTGAACGGTTTGGGTTTGGGTTTCATTGCGGGCTTACGTTTAAATGCCTAGGTTTGGGGCGCCTACATCATCATCGACTTGTTGCTGTGGTTATAACGATGGTTTAGGGTTTAACATACATACATTTATGTAATCCTATAAAAATAAGGGGAACCGCAATAGGCGGACGCCCATATATATATATATATAGATATATATACATATACCCTTAAGGGACTATACAGGGCACCTCATTCCCTCATTCCCTCCTAACCAACAGCAAGTACATGCCCCGTGTGTTTCTTTTCTGTGGGAGGGGAGTCGTTCAGGAGATGCTCTTTGACCAGCTGGATGTCCTCTCTTCCGTCCCCGTGTGTATGAAGAAGGCTCCGAAGTTTAGGGTTTAGGGTTTAGGGTTCAGGGTTTAGGGTTCAGGGTTTAGGGTTTAGGGTTTAGAATTCCTACCCCTAAAGTTCCAAGGGCGAACCTCAAGCCTGTGAGAGTCTAGCGGGAAGGCACCGGGATACACGAGAGCAAAGGCTTCCTTCATCCCCAGTCCGAAGTCGCTGCAGCATCTCTTACGGCACCCTTTAAAACAGAAAGGCGGGCCCCTCAAAACCCCCCAAAACCTCCAAAACCCCCCAAACCCATAACCCTAAACCCTAAACCCTACACCGACACCCTTTACCCGAAACCCTAAACCCTAAACCCTAAACCCCCAACCCGCAAGAGAATTCAGTAAGCCCCTGTGACAGAGGCGGAAGAGGTGCGGATCAGGCGGCGTAGTGCTCCATCCCTTCGCCGACAGGGTGACTCGTCAGGTGATCAGTTGGGCGGGAAGGTGGTTTAGGGTTTAGGGTTTAGGGTTTAGGGTTTAGGGATTAGGGTTTAGGGTTTAGGATTTAGGGTTTAGGGTTTAGGGTTTAGGGCTGAGGGTTGTTAGGCTTGAGGGTCGAAGTAGGGATGGCTCAGGACTTTGACCAGGACTTTGAATGGAATGACCTTCTTGTGTTGCTGATGGTTCCTTCCTCATTGCTGACAAAAAAAGCTCTCCAGCCCTGAACCCCCCTTCTTGAGCTTCATGATCCCGAGATGCAGTGGTTCAAAGTTGTAGCAGCGGCTGCTGGCCTTTCTTGTCCCCCGGCCTAAACCCTAAACCCTCAACCCTCAACCCCAAACCCCTGAGACCCTAAACCGTGCCCTGCTCCCGCACCACGTGGCGTGGCATCATGTCAAACTGGCATCCCAAAGCCTGAGCGTTTTTCGCGAAGCAAACCTCCCCAAACCGGCTAAACCCTAGCCTAAACCCCAACTCCTAAGCCCTAAGCCCTAAGCCATAAACCATAAACCCTAAACCCTAAATCCTAAACCCCAGGCAAAAGCCAGGGCAAGCCCCAGTTCTTCGGCGGGACGGCGGAGTCCTCTGGCCTGGCGGCCGCCTATGCGGAGCTGCCGGAGACGGTTGAGGCAGGGTTTTTGGACTTGGGGTCTGGGGGTTTAGGGTTTAGGGTTTAGGGTTTAGGGCTCAGGGCTCAGGGCTTAGGGTTTGCCGGAACTCCTATAAGATCCCTCTTTTAGGGGCTTTAAGGTTTGGGTTTTGCGGTGCAGCATTCACGCTTCTTCGTCTGCAGCTGTGAGCTAGGTCTCTTGGGTGCAGGGGTTGGTGGTGTAGAGTTCCCTAGTGCTTTAGGAGTATAGGGCGTTTAGGGGTTTCGGAGTAGGACAGTGGTCTCGGGCCTCGTCTGTATTTGGTGTGGGGACGTGCGAAGTCACGAAAGCTGGCCCCCGGGAGCTAGCGGAGTATCTTACCAGCCGTTAGGTTGAAGCAACAGGGGTGTGGGGGCCCAGTTGGTGGTGGTACAAATGCCGGGCTAGACCCCACCCGGCTTGGTTTTCGAGGTCCTATACGGTTGTCTTGATAGCTTGAAGTACTTAGGCTACGCGCCCCGAAGGCATGAGCATCCAAACCACAGATGTAAGGGTGAGTCAGAGGGTTGTCTCATAGTGAATTTTCAAGCAAGCGAAGAAAAGATGAATTCACGTTGCAAATGCCTACGCCTGTTCTCGGCCATGGCAACTGTAGACCGTGCCCCCCCGTCACACTCGAAAGCCTTACATTTTAGAGCCTCCGGCTCAAGCTGGAGGAATGGTTCAGGCGGTTCAGCAGGCCTCATGTCCGTGTAAGCCTTATGGACCCTAAACCCCAAAGCGTGCAACTCAAAGCCGCCATAAACACCCCCCGAAATCCGTGCTCTCTCACAACTGCTACCAGGTCCCAGTTCTTTTTCCTGTGTTTTTGTAGTATGACGGCCGTGCGTGTCGCGCGTCAAATAGCTGTTGATGTCTCAGGTGCAGCTGGCTTCTCTAATCTTATTCCGAGCCCTTATACTGAAATGTCAGGGGTCCTAAGGAGGTCAGGGTGTGCGCAGGGGGGCCCCAAGAGCACCACCCAATGAGCTCCCAAAGCGCCCAAACCCATCCAACACGCCGCCAGGTCGGCGAAACCGTAAAGCACGTAGCCGAACGGGTTTTGGGGCTTGGGGCCTAGGGTCAGATGGAACTTGCAGTCTTCTCACTGAGGACCCGAGCGAAATGCTGGACCGCCTCGATGCCCCCCGGCAGACTCGTGCTAGCTTGTCATGTAACATCTTCCATTATGCTGTCATCCAATAGTATAACATATACAGTACTTGTTGACTTACATGCTTACATACTTGCATACTTACATACTTGCATGCATGCATTCATATTTACGTGCATACAGCTAGCTTCTACTTCCGTGCACGGGGCTTCCATGTTGCTTTCACGCAGGAGGCACAAGGGCTTCATGCGTGCACAAAGAGTCCGGTTTTTCCCGGGGCGAGTTCGTGTTGCGTCAGTCTGCCATCCAAGGTCACCTGCAAGACCTTCCAAAGTATGCAGGACCAGCTCGAGTCCATGATGTCTCGCGCGGAGGAGCTGGCCGTGGCAGCCCTGGACAGCACCCAGGAGCCCTTCGCCAAGCGCCAGAGGTGGGTTTGGGCTCAAGCCGCGGTGGGGCTGCGCCCATTCTTTCGAAAAAAAGTGAAAACCACACCCCTCCTACCCTTCCATAACGGTGGACTGAAAGAAGTTAGAGAAGGCAGACTGGGCGCATCTTAGGAAATTGAAAGGTAAATTGAACGTCCCCTTCAGGATGGTCCACTGGCAGGACCCGGAGACCGATGCGTCCCCAGAGTCTGTCCCTCCGGCCCTGGACCTGGCGCAAGCGGAGGAGATAGAAGCCAAATGTGCTTCTGTTCTGCAGAACCTGAAGGACCGTATGCGAAGCGAGGAGCTGCTCCAGGCCAAGTGCCACAGCATAATGAGATCGCTGGATACCCTCATCAACGATCCGGACTGTGGGCTCGCCATTGTGAGACAGGCTCTCGTGTGACGTGTACACCTGTGTGAATAGACCATAGCGGCGAGTGTTCCGGTGTGATCCTGCTTCTTCATGGGCGAGGTCGCTGACACCATAAGCAGGACTGTTTGATAGCGTGCGTCGAACCCCAGGCTCCATTCCATCTCTGCATGGAGAATGGGATGGATGTTGGACGGATGTCATGTTTGCCCTAGGTGTGTAGTTCATGCACCATAACTGTGGCCTTCTTAAAACTCATGGCCAGAGCGATGATCAGAAGAGCAATGACCCCGGCGCTGGTACAAATGTAATCGTAGCGACATCCGCCATTTCCTGTGGCGTCTGCCGGTCCAACCAACCGTACCTAACTCAAATGTTTCACCGATAATGTTCCGCCAGGCAGCTCCTAGCCTTTCAAAGAGCCAGCACAAGGAGAGACAGTAGCTTATCCTTCGACCGGTAGCAGCAAAGGCAGGGGAGCGGCACGGTCGCGGGCGACCGCGGCAAGGCAGCCGTCTTCGAAAACTGACGGCGAGCGCAATCGAAAAGTTGGCCGCATGTCTCGTTGCTTTGTGAGAATGTGGGGGCGAATCTGCGGACCTCACAGAAGGATGGTGGGTCCAATTCTGAGCACCAAACTCTAAGGCAGAGAGGGGCGGTTGATGGCGTTTTGTACGGAGATCCGGGAATATTAGATTATTATGTCATCATGTTATCTTGTCATTATGTTACCATGTTCTTATGTTAGGAAATGAGTTTGTCTTCAAGAGGTCTTGTTTTTAATATCGCAATATTACTACATGATTCAGAGTATATGAGGATCTTTGGACCGTTTGGGTAGATGCGTGGGAACTGTCGGGTTTCCAATCATGGGTTCCGTGATCCAGCCCTGGGCTTGGCAGGCTGGCGCCCAAGCGCCTACCGTGGCTCCTGAGCTCTCAGAGGCACGGCCCTGTGCCTGCGGAGATGTTGATTGGTGCTGAGTGCGAAGATGTTTTCTTGGTGGGAAGCCGGCGCTGGGAACTTTTGTAGCGGTTGAAAGCTGTAGCAAGTGCTGCAGGCATGCTTTTCAGTCCTTGGCGTTTTTTTTTTATTATGTTTTTTTTTTTTTCCCCCCCCCCTCCTCTTGTTCACAGCGACAGTGGCCGTACTCCCCACTACAGGCCGAGTGCTGCCGCTGGCTCGGCATCTTTGCGCGCAGGCGCTACACTGCCAGAGGCCTACCTTACCGAACACAGGGCAGGGGTCGAAGGGCGCAACCTGCAAAGAAATCGAAGCGAGTTTCTTGCTTCAATCAAGCAGAACTGCACACCCCTCGCCCGTGCTGAAGGCTGTCCTGGTTCTGTTGCAGGGTTTTCTTAGCCGATGGCTGACGTTTCGCCGCACCTTTCTTGTTGGGCCACTTCAGGGCGCTGCAGCAAAGCGACAGCACGCAACCACATCAAAGGCCAGCGACAGCAGCATAAGCCCTGTCCCAATCTTTCTGTTCTCCAGACAAGGCGAGAACACAGGCTAAACCCAAAGGCTTCTAAAGCCCGTGCAAAGAGTGCTCAAGGCATCCCCTTGGCCCAGGTCATCCTCTTCCTGGGACCGGAGTGTGGGCAACTGTGTCTGCAGCAGCTCGAAGACGCAGCAGCCCTAGAACCATTGAGCTGCAGTCGCGGTGTGCGCTGCACTCATCGGACTCATCCCCCTGATCGCCTCTGAAGGACAGTGACGACGAGGGCGTGGAGGAGGTAGAGGTCTGGCTCAGAGCTAGTATGCTTGTCACATCTTGCCACACAGGAGAGCATGTTAGCATACGTTCATTGGTGTGCAACATGAACACCTCAGCTCCGCTCTCGCTACCGCCCAGCCAAAGTGCTTGGACGCGACGCGAGGGTCAGCGCAAGTTAGCGCCACACTGCTAAGCCACGGTCTTTTCCCACGCCGTTCAAAGCAGTAGATTCAGGTACTCGGTTATTCCCCCTTACATGTTCCAATGCAGACGTAAGAGTTTGCCCCTTGGCACTAGGATCCTGAAGGAAAGACTTCCTCCCAACGGATTTTAGGTGCCGATTTTAGGTGCCGTTGGTAGAGTTTGCACATCCCCAGGGCCGCTCGGCGGCATGTGCACAAGATGCATGGTTCCTCCCCCGTGCAGCCTGCGCCTGTCTTGGCGGCGAGCGGCTCTCCTGTTCGCTGTCTTCCACAACTCCGATGGTGGGCCTAGGGCCTGGGATTTCTGGGATTTCCGGGAACTTCTGAAAATGTCTGGAGTCTGGATCTTTCTGGGATATTTCTGGTATCTTCGGGAACTGGAGGTCGGTTGAGCTCTCCTTCCTTAAAGGTGCTCTGGTAAATTCTCCGAGAATGCAGAGAGTTGCAGAGTGAAGTGGCGCCAGGTGGTCACTTGGAAGAGCAGCAGGAGCAGCAGTGCCTTCACCTGGATCTGTACCCAGGGAACTGCCCGCCCAACATCATGAAGGGCGCATGTTATAGCCACTTGGCCTTGACGGATCCATGCGGACTTGGTGTTGCAAGCCCGCCTTTGTAGATCGTGTGGCAGTGCGGAATCGTTACTTTGCTTTACCCCTGCAGAAGCCAACTCGTGACCCAGGCGATCAGGAGGATGTGACCTGGGCATGTATGCCTGACGCTGGCCTGCGTTGGATGGGCCCGGGGCAATTTGTTCCATATTATATTACATGATATCAATTCACTTCAATTTTATTATATTAAAATATATTGTATACTATCATATTGTTTAAGAAGCTTCTTCTCAGCCTTTCCCTCAGCCTTATTGACAATTCACGCTTTGAAGAGCCCGCACTTGAGAAACCTCGTTGCGTTATGTGGGAGGTTTCCGAAAGTTAGCTTTTTTTCCCACCAGATGTCGCAGAATCCCCTCAAAACCCAAAACCCAAAACCCTAAATCCTAAACCCTAAACCCTAAAGCCCTAAACCCTAAACCCTAAAACCCTAAACCCTAAACCCGAAGCCCTAAACCCTAAACCCTAAACCTTTTTTGAAGTGCCAATTAAAGCTTCTGGACTTCGGGAAGCTGCTGCTTTACTTGGAAGGATGGCTTGGACTCCGTCCCCCCGGCCGGGTGCAGCTCCATGTCGCCTGGTTGTTAAGATTATAGTATAATATAATGTAATACAATATAATATGATATTTTAATATAATACAATATAGTACAATTTAATATATTATGATATTAATATAAGATAATACCAGATTTTATAGTGTATATATATACATAGGAATATGATCTATAATACAATAGGTATTAATGTTCTCACGCTGCGTGAATAGATACCGTGAATATCATTCGGCTCAGTCATTCACTCTGTTCACCAGACGAATCCGGTCGAATGGTAAAGGTTTGGACTGAGTGGTAGAACCGCCAGTGAAAGACTCATGATGGTACAGTTTCTATGTTGGGATCTTTGGGAGATTCTTATTGTAAATCCACCATTGACAGATTAACTCCTAGAGACAGAGGTTATGAATGTACCGTGTTGAGGGGCAAGGTCGCGAAGGAGTTAGCTGATGGTGAACAAGGGCCGACAGGATTAGTGGCTTCTTTTCATATTTTTCTGGGAACGGGGTCAACTTGCAACGCGGAACAGTGAGTGTCATTTTGGAACGCGGGAGAGTGTGATTTTGGAACACGGCTGACGTTCAAACCTGCACCCTTGCAGTGATTTTGCTGAGGTGCAGGTCTCCGGAAGTTTTCCCTTTTCTGAGGTGGCTTTTTCTCAGCTGGCTTTTCTAAGGTGGTTTCCTGAGGCGGCGTTTCTATCACCGCTAGAAAACCTTTTGTTTTTGGTTTTTCAAGTGTGGTTTTCTTGAGCATCCTTGTGTTCCAAACCGACTTTCTTGTTTTCGATTTTTTCTGGCTTCGCCCTAAACATCCCTCAACATCTTTTCTCGTGTATACGTATGTACACACATATGTAAATGAATAAAATAAACAAAAATGAATTAAAACATATATATATATATATATATATATATGCATAAGTCTATTTACTTAGATATAGACGGAGAGTTCATTTTTGCAAGGGCAGTTGATGTTTGGGACCTTTGAAAGAGATGCTTAGAGATTGTTCCTGCTTGCAGCCGAGGGCAGAAGTTCTTTCCTTCTCTCGGGTCCGACAAGCTAAACCCTAAACCCTAAACCCTAAACCCTAAACCCTAAACCCTAAACCCGAAACCCGAAACCCTAAACCCTAAACCCTGAACCCTAAGCCCTGGGGCCGTGTTTTTCTCTTCCCGTTTTCTTGCTTCTGTTGCTGAGAACCGAACATCCCAAAACCCCAATAGGGTTTCGGGTTTAGGGTTTAGGGTTTAGGGGGTTAATGGGGGATGTCCTGTTGTTGTGCCTAGTGAAGGCAGCTACCACCTCCGAACGAGGGTGCCTACGCAGGCTACTGCAGTTTCTTCCTGACCCTTCAGCTGAAATAGAACGCTGATTTACATGTCTACATGTCTGCTCGTAACACTTGTCATTGGCATGCGCTGGTGCTTATGCGGAAGCATGACTTGAGCAAGGAAGCCAACCACACCAACGACGATTCGGGCTTAGCTGAGCATGCACGTTGGGTCAGGCAGTTGCTCAGTCAATTGCTCATAAAGCCAGTTGACAGCAGTACTGCGTGGGGGCCTGTCGTGTGCTCAAGCAGCTTTCTCACAATCAAGTGTCTGGAGGCCAAAACATAGAAGATCGGCACCAGTGTGACTCTGCTGTGCATGCTGCACAAGACCGATGCACCGCAACATTGTGCCCAGGACAAGCACAACGACACCTTGTCCAGTGTCAAGGCCGTACTTACAGCGGAGCTCGATTCACAGTTGTACGCTCATAAACCCTCAAGAACACGGACAGTCAACTTTCGATTTTACTTTTAACTCCTGTATTCCGTCCATCACTTGACTTTACTACAATTCTGCTAGTAACATGTGCTAACGTACACTATCATGATGCCCTTCGTCACCTGAGACCAGCTTACAGCCTGGCACGGCACAACTGCAACCAGCATACCTAACATCGAGAGACCACACACAAAGCGGCCCAAAATTCTGGACAGGCTTCGCATTACGAATCGCTGCGCGATGAGTCCTATTTGGATCGCGCACGAGGCAGCTCTGCCACTCCGCGGACCCCTTTAGGGTTTGGAGCCTGGGGTTTCTTCAAGGGAAGCACTGACCCCAAGACTCTAAACCCCGAAGCCTGCAATGTCTTGGCAGCTTTTAGCTCGAAAAGGTGGTAGTCAAAATCACCCCTCCGACCCGGTCAGCATGGTCAGTTGTTTTGTTTTGGACACTAAACATTATGGGCGACTTTATAGTTGCAACAGGGACCCTTCACCCCGAACCCGTCGCTTCGAGATCCGATCCACATGGGCCCACATGGTGTGGGTATCCCAGACCCCAAACTGGACCTGGAAGCCAAAGAGCTCCCGAAATGGAGAAATGGATGTCGTCTATAGCTTTAGTTTAGGTACTTGGAAGTTCAGCGTACTGATAACCCCAATGATAACTGCACTTATAAGCCCCCGAGGTCCTCTAAGTAGGTTATAAGTGGACTAATAATTGGGGTCTCCATTCAGAAGCAGGAGGTAAGCGAGCCAGTCCTCTGGACCTTGCTTGCTTTCAAGCTGACGCATGGGCTTCATATGCCTCTCGTGCACTGACATTTCCAAAGCGCCTCGGAGGATGATTTTGGTGAAGGTTCTCCTGTACCAAGAAAGCACCCATCTTGAAAGAAAGTCCGGCTGGCACTTTTGCCACAAGTTAATACAGTCAAAGGCAACAAAGAATTCATGTATTTCGATTTTGTTTCTTGTTTATAGAGTCAACACCCTGCCCAAAGAAGTCCAAACCCTGCACCGCTGAACCCTAAGCCTCTTCAAGTGTGTTGGTGGAGGCCGCGGGAGGCGCCATCGGCCCCAGTCGGCAGTCGCTCGGCCGTGGACGTGAGAATTTGGGTTCAGGCCTATGCCTAGGGCTTCGGTAGTTCCATTTCAGGTGGGGCTCGGGGAGCAGCTTAAGGAGGGCTTGGCGGACTTCGCAGGAAGCATCTTTTGTGGAGTTTGCGAGGTTTCAGCTGTGCAGGAGACCAGGTCCTTTAAAGTTCTCACGTATGTCAGGGTATTGTCTAGGTGTCATTGCAGGCACTGCTTTGTCTCCGACCGCGCACTCCAAGGAATGTGAAGATCGAACCAGATGATTTTCACGACTTTTGCACCCCCGACAAGCTGGTAGGCTCGGCGCGGCGTGCAAAACTCAGCTCCAACCGTATCAGCGTGTGCGCGAGGCACTCGCTACTGGCCAAAGATGCTATGTAACGAGGATGGTGTGAATTGCTTGCGACTTGGATTGCAGCTTCCCTAAGCCCTAAATCCTAATTCCTGAATGCTAAACCCTGAACCCTGAACCCTGAACCCTGAACCCTGAACCCTCAACCCTAAACCAAACCCTTGCGGTTGCAACAATCCCCAAAGCCGTTTCTTTGTTGCCAGCGTGTCTGCGCGACCTTGTAGGAGCCTGAGAACCTAAACCTGGAAGTCCCTGCGTTCAGCGCCTCTTAGAGGAAAGCCGGCCCTCTTCCCTACCACCGAAACCCAAACCCCCAACCTAAGAAACCCGAAGCCCGAAACCCTAAACTCTAAACCCTAAACCCTAAACCCTAAACCCCAAACCCCCAAGCCCGAAACCCTAAAAACCCATGAAGATGGTCAGCTGTAAAGTCCTCCCCCCCCCGAGGTTGGGAAGCAGTGGCGGCCCTGGAGAGGGGTGCAGCGGCCTGGCAGCAGAGTCACCAGGTTTTGTGGGCTCAGGGTCGATGGGCCTCTGGTTTTTGGTGTTTAGGGTTTAGGGTTTAGGGTTTAGGGTTCAGGGGTGTGTTTGGTGAAGGAAGAGATCCAAAGTGAAAAGGCGAAACTCTAAGTAAGCATGAACTGCATCCGTATGAGCTCCGAACTTCCTGTTGTCCATGAGAGGCTCCGGCGGAAACTATTGGGCATGTGCGCCGCCGATCGACACAAAGTTCGAGGCGACATTTGGCCGAAGAGGCCGTGCCCGTGCTGAGGCTTTCGAGTTTGGTTTAGGGTTGAGTCGACTAGGGTTTAGCTTCGGGTTGAGGGTTCAGTGTTTCAGGGAAACAATGGGTAACAACAACTCGCCCTAAAGCCTAAACCCTAAACCCTAAGCTCTAAACCCCAAACCCTAAACCCTAAACCCTGACCATGCTGAGTTGCAGGAGCCCCCTGCAATGGCCAGAACTCGAAGGATTGCGACTTCGTTGACGTCAGCTTGGTTCCTTTGGCCTGGCCAGGTTCGGATTGGAGTTTGGGGTTTGGGGTTTAGGGTTTAGGCTCAGGGTTTGGGGTCAGTGTTTAGGGTTTAGGGTTTAGGCTTCGGGTTTGGGGTTTAGCCTTCTAGCTTCCCCCTCACAGGGGTGCACGTTGATTTCATGCATTGGTGCATGAGTGCCAGGGTCCCTAGGATAGCCTATCAAACCAAGATATGGCTGCAACATGCGACCAGCCGGTCTTGATGCACTGAGCCCAAGCTGAACTCGTTCTCACTCCCAGCTTGTGTTCCTGAATTGTGGTTTCTTTTTACATAGCGCAGTTACCCTTCTTATCGGCCTGCTTATAAGTACCCATGAGAGCCTTGAGAACCCTAAACCCTAAACCCTAAACCCTAAACCCTAAACCCTAAACCCTAAACCCTAAACCCTAAACCCTAAACCCTAAACCCTAAACCCTAAACCCTAAACCCTAAACCCTAAAAGACTAAACCCTAAACCCCTCAGGTTGACGGTTGGACCCTGCCCTTCCGGCTCCTCATCGCGGGAAGCTGCACTGGAGGTGGGCCGTAGCGCGATGCGGCTTGGGAAGGCTATGCTAGGGTTTAGGGTTTCGGGTTTAGGGTTTGGGGTTTGGGGTTTAGGGTTTAGGGTTTAGGGCTTCAGTTCAGAAGCCATAAGTGAACCTCCTTGTTGCTGGATTTTTGCAGTCCGAGCCCCTTGTCTACGGTTTGTATGTGCGGCTCTGACATGCGGTGGTGCTATGTTGCTTGAAGCAGGGTAGGTGCCGTGTATGATCGGATCTGTTAGAACAAGGTCCCCCCCCCCCCCTCCCTAACCCGAAACCCTAAACAAACCCTCCACCCTGAACCCTAAACCCTAAACCCTGAACCCTGAACCCTAAACCCTAAACCCTAAACCCTAAACCCTAAACCCTAAACCCTAAACCTCAACCCTGAGCCTTAAACTTGAACGAACAGCACCCTAAGTGGACCCTTGTGCCCGCCGAAGGTGGCAACACGCACCCCACCGTGATAGACTGCTCAAGCTTCTTGCCTGAAGTTCCACCTTCAGGGTTTCGGGGTAAGGGTTTAGGAGTTTGGAGTTTGGAGTTTAGGGTTTAGGGTGTGGGGTGTGGGGCTTCAGATGCTGCAGCGCACAGAGAGGCGCCTATGCTGGTTCAGGCACAATTTAGAGTTGTAGCAGCTCAAGGTCGAGGTTCAGGCAGTCTTGCAATGTGAAAGATCATTTTGCGAAGCTGGCCCTGTGCAAGCGCTCCAGCTTTGCTGTTGCTAGGCTAGATTACCTTGCCTGCCGCTTTCGCTTAGATCTGTGCGACATTTTGAAGTACTGTTAGAACTGTACTTATAACTGTAACCATAACCATGTTAGGGCACTTAAGGGGCTCATAAGTGGGTTATAGGTACAGTGATAAGTGGTTACTAAGTGCCATGAACCAGTGCGGAAGTTTGTGGCCTGAGGCCTTACCTTCGAGCAGTGCCCGACACAAGAGCTGCTGGGTCAGAAGAAGTATGCCACTTGGCCTTCGTTGCAAGACCGAAGTCCGCAAGCGCTGGGCTGCCGCAGTGAGTTGAGAAGCCTAAAATCGTGAACTGTTGAGCTCCAGCTTGGAACGCTCTTACAACCTTCTGCCTTCAAGACATGGTTCGGGGTAACCCTAAACCCTAAACCCGAAACCCTAAACCCTAAACCTTAAACCCTAAACCCGAAAACCTAAACCGAAACCCTAAAACCCAAACCCTAAACCCTAAACCCTGGGTTTGGGGCCAGTCGCCCGAAAGTTGGCCTCCCTCTTCCCTCAGGACATGCAGGCGCGGCACTGGGGAAGTGGCAGCATCGCCGGATGCTATAGCCCCTGCCTGAAGCTGACTGATCCCAAGTGGAACAACACGGCATCCCGAGGCCTGAGACTTTCCTTTTGGGGGGTTTCGGGTTTAGGGTTTAGGGTTTGGGGTTTAGGGTTTAGGGTTTAGGGCTTTAGGGTGGGCCTGGTGAGTCCTGAAATTCGAGCCTTACCCCCAGAGCCCCAGAAGGCCGATCACGGACCGACGACGTGGCGGCGCCGTACTGCTGCCCCACGCCCCCGATCTCACCGCAGGCCCCTTGGGTGCCTTCCCCAGAGGAGAACCGTGCAACCCTCAAGCTGAGAGCTGGCTACATAGAACCTCCAGCAGATGCCCTGCAGCCCCACATGCCTGTGAGAATGCAAACTTCGGGTTCGGGCCTTTGAAGGCTCACCCGTGCAACTTAAGAGCTCTACACCCCCCAGGCCCGTAGGAGGCCATCTGCCCCTACTCCTGAGCGAAGGCCTGCCGATCAGGCCCAGTGGAAGGGAGCCTTGGAAGGGCAGGGGTCGAGAGTTAGGGTTTAGGGTTTAGGGTTTAGGGTTTCTGGTTTAGGGTTTGGGGTTTGGGGTTTGGGGTTTAGGGTTTAGGCGCGGGTTAGCTTTGGGGGGGGGGGGGGGGGACCATTGGGGTTCCTTGGGATTCGGAGACGGCTTTGCTTAGGGCTTCGGGCTTACCGTTGAGGCTTGAGCCCCGGAGGAGGGGGCCCGTGCTGAGGACGGAGTACGTCAAGGCGGTCCACCAGTACTGCGCGAGGCTCAGTTCTTCGTGAAGAGAGACTTTGCAGCTGCAGGCATTCCTCAACACTTGAACTCCAAGGAGCTAAGATCGAAGCACCCTAAAGCCCTACTGCCCTGACTTAATTTCCTGAATTCCTCAACCCTAACGCTCCAAATCCCGGGACTCAAGCCTATAGGGCTCAGGCCCTGGTGTCTATGCCTACTGCTACGATGATGAGATGGGCTTGTTGCAGTGCTCTGCAGACTCCAACTACGAGCTGGAGTTTTTCTGTGCTTCGGTGGCAGGTGCAGTTTCGTTTGGCATTCAGTTTTGCGGGGGCAAGTCCAGACGTGGACACCAGGCAGTGCATTATAGGCTGGTATCTTCACCCCGAACCCTTGGTTTGTTTGGGTGTCTTGCCCATGCTCGATCCTTTCAAAGCCATCCTTCTATACCAAGAATCTACATGAGGTGTTGCCATCGAAAACTCCTTAGAATAAGCCGAAACCTCCAGCAGCATGAAGCCTGAACTTTGGCCCAGGCCCCTGGCCAATGCCTTCATGGGACTACGTCTGGGTGACCACGACTCAGACGAGTGCCACGTACACGGCGACATCCCTCACTTCCACCCGCACGACCATCACCCACACTACCAGAACCGTTTCGTCCACCACCATCAGCACCACCACCGCGACCACCGTGACCCGAACATCGATGACGACCGTTGCTGGGCTGCACAGCATCTGCAATGACCGTAGTGACAATAATGCTCGTAGTGACACTCATGATAGCATTCCTAGGAATGGTCATCGTGATAGCAATCATAGCACTGATGCCAACGATGATAGTGCGAATGATGATTCCAACCCCCAAACACCCCCCAACCTGCCTGCGAGACTCGGATCGGACAAGATCTAGGGTTTAGGGTTCAGGGTTTAGGGTTTGGGGTTTAGGGTTCAGGGTTTAGGGTTTAGGGTTTAGGGTTCAGGGAGAGCGACCGGAGGTGACGGGGACAACGAGGACGACGAGGCCATCCACCACCGACAAGGACGAGGCCGGATCCCAGGAGCTTTGGCTGCTCTTTTGTCCGAGGCTATCAGTCCGCTATAGGTGCCCGAGACTCCTAGTGCCCAAACCAAACTTCCTTGTCCCTACACCCTAAACCCTAAACCCTAAACCCTAAACCCTAAACCCTAAACCCTAAACCCTAAACCCTAAACCCTAAACCCTAAACCCTAAACCCTGAATCAGTAAGTTCAGGGTTGCGGGTTTAGTCCAATCTTGTCCAGGCCACGGCAGCGAGCCCAACCAGGACGGACGGGCCAAGGTGCGGTGAGGTTATCAGTATCTGCATTTAGATATTATGAATATTATGAGTATTACGAATAGTATTAATATTACTATTTGTATTAATATTAATATTATTATTATTACTATTGTTATTATTATTATTATTATTATTATTATTATGATTATTATTCATAGTAATATGAATATGAATATGAAAATTAGTATTAATATTAATACTAATATTAATATCGGTATTAATATAAATATTTTTTGTATTCTTAATATTACTAGTTCATATTATCATCTCTATCACTATCTAGTTTTTTGCTGTTTCGTTCATTGATGCGACTGTTGAACTTCTTGTCTTCAACTTTTTATTCTTGCAGTATGATTGTTGTCAGTAGTGTGTTTTCCTACCCGTGTTTGGGTATTGCTAGTCCAGATATTGCTATCGAACACATAGTTGTTGTTTTACTGTTCGTGATCTCAGAGCCCCCTAAACCAGGACCCACGGTGGAGACTCCGAGTCCAAATCGCCCGCAACTACCCCGCCTGTGACCACTCCGTCTGAGACCGCTCCAGGCGCAGATTTAGGGTTTAGGGGTTCAGGGTTCAGGGTTTAGGGTTTAGGGTTTAGGGTTTAGGGTTTAGGGTTTAGGGCAAAGATGGCCATGCCTTGCCATGTCCCTGACCTGCCCTTAATTCGCTCACCAAGAATGCAGTGATGTTAGGCTGCATTGTCAGAGTCCCCTGATTCTACCGCGCACACGCTTTGAGTGTTGGGGTTGGGGGGTACATGCTTTAACAGATGTCGTGGGAAGAGCCCAAGTGTATCGACGGGCTATTGTTCATCAGTTCTGGAAGGCGAAGGCTCTGTTCCTGGCTCCCGGCTCCCTTACTTGGTCAGCAATGACGTCCCCCCCCCCCCCCCCCCCACAGTGAACAAGTTCTGAGCAATCGCAAACCCTAAATCTTAGAGTCTAAACCCTCCTAAGCCTAAACCTAAATCCTCAAGAACTGTAAGCAGACGCCCTCTCCAGGTCCCACCGGCCTCGACGCGCCCTCGACATCGAGTTCCCAAGGCTCAGAGGCCGGTTAAACTTTTGTTCAGGATTTGTGGGTTTAGGGTTTAGGGTTTAGGGTTTAGGGTTAAAGTTAGGGTTTAGGGTTTGGGGTTTAGGGTTTAGGGTTTGGGGTGTAGGGTTGTTCTAGGGGTGCCTATATATTAGGGTTCCCAAGTTTTGCAAACCGCCAATTTTTCACTGGCTTGACATGTACCGCTTCCGAGGAGAGACCTGTTCGATGGTGAGCGCGAATGAGGTTAGTTGAGCTCTAGACCCTAAAAACTAAACCCTAAACCTTAAACCCTAAACCCTAAACCCTAAACCCTAAACCCTAAACCCGAAGCCTGGTAGAACCTCGATTCAGGGCCCATGAGCCTTGCATGTGAGATCTTGTGGATTGAAGTGCGTTCGGTGTCCACACTCTCCTACTACTATCTCCTCTTCAAGGCTTTTCAAGCCATGAGGCGCAGGTGTAGGATCGCGGAAGGGGGTCCTTTCGGCTAAGGGAGGTGGGGACGCCGAAAGGGTTTAGGGTTTAAGGTTTAGGGTTTAGGGTTTCCCCAGTCAGTGATGTGCCCTGAGCTGAAAGCATCAAGCACCCCTCAACATTGCGGGGCTTGCCAGCTCCCGCCAATCAATCCTTGATAGGCAAGGTTTCGTAGCTGCCTGAGCGCTAAGGAGGGTCCCTAAACCCTCAACCCTAAACCCTAAACCCTGAATGAAATTCAGCCCAGCTAACGTCGCTGCAGGCATATTACGTGATTGCCGGCTGCTCGCTGGGAGCTGTCACTGGACTCAGCGGACTGCAGACATTTCTCCGTTCCCTCAAAGCTCGTATGCCATTTGTTGGTAAACCGTAAACCCTAAACCGTAAACCCTAAACCCTAAACCCTAAACCCTAAACCCTAAACCCTAAACTCTAAACCCTAAACCCCACACCCTAAAGCCTAAAGCCTAAAGTCTAAAGCCTAAAGCCTAAAGCCTAAAGCCTAAAGCCTAAAGCCTAAAGCCTAAGGCCTAAGGCCTAAGGCCTAAAGCCTAAAGCCTAAAGCCTAAAGCCTAAAGCCTAAGGCCTAAGGCCTAAAGCCTAAAGCCTAAAGCCTAAAGCCTAAAGCCTAAGGCCTAAGGCCTAAAGCCTAAAGCCTAAGGCCTAAAGCCTAAAGCCTAAAGCCTAAGGCCTAAAGCCTAAAGCCTAAAGCCTAAAGCCTAAGCCCTAAACCCTAAACCCTAAACCCTAAACCCTAAACCCTAAACCCTAAACCCTAAACCCTAAACCCTATTGCAGGACTGAGTTGAGAAAGGCCAAGTAAGCCCTCTGAACTCCAAGGTGGCCGTGGTTGCTTTGGGCCTCTGCATTTGGCATGGTGCAGTTCCCGTGAGGACCCGGGGGGTTGGGTCTGACATGGGGGTTTCCGAAGATGGTTCAGGGTTTAGGGTTTAGGGTTTAGGGTTCAGGGTTGAGGGTTTAGGGGTACCCTTTTTGGGGGTCCCTTTAAGGGGATTCCATTCTATTTGGGGTATAAGAGGGCTATCCCTATCTTGAAAAATATCAACATTCACAGTGGGCTTGCAGGTATCTGGCTGCTGCTGTGCATCCTTGCGGGATAAAGTCTGTGTGTCCAGAGTGAAGATGCCAAGGTCGCTTTGAATTTTGATTCCTGTCTCTTTTCACACGAGCAGGCGTGACGTCGAGCAGCAATTGCCATTGCTGCCGCAGGAGTAGGCGCGGCTCGCAAAAATCACGAAGTTCTGGCCGGGCTTTGCAACTGGCTGGCCTAGGAGCTCTAGATGCATGATCTTTTGCCACAGGGTTCGAGGAGTTTAGGGTTCAGAGAGGAGCTTGTTGAATTGAATTCGTGTGTGTTGTCTACGACTATCAGCTGGCAGGTTAGGGCGCGAGCCGCCTTTTGCGCCGAGCTTCGGTGGCTCACTTCAGCAGCTTAGGAGCTGGACTGGCGAATGCCTTCTAGTAATCTCCATCGAGACCGCAACATGCGGCTATGTTTTTCATTGGGAGATGTGGAGAGATGCATCTGTAGTCCACACAGTGTAGCACATGGATCGTGGCAGGATGCTGCATGTCTTGTACATCTCCGGCCAACACAAGCTTACCTGCTGCACCGTTTGTGCCCACTTTGTTGTAACCGTCACGAGCATACCCGCCTCCACGCGCGCAAAACAGATTGATCTGCAAGAGCAGTGCGTTGCGCCTGTGATCTACGAATGCACAGGCCTTGAACAGTAGCCTTCCGTACCTCCTCAGTCTGACTATGCGGGCGTTTTTTCAGGTTTTTTTCTAGCTGACCATCATGAGGGTCCTCCGCGTCACCTGTCCAGTTCTCGAAGCAAGCTGTCATCCCTGGCCAAGCACCCTAGAAGCATGTCGATTAGCACTCACCCAGACCCCTGGGAGGATCCAAAAATAGAACCCCCAAATAGTACCCTATATTACTAAAGGGTCATTCTTAGGAACCCTTAAGGAGATCTATTTATTGGATCCTTCCCCAGGGGTCTGGGCAGACCCGTTCTGCATCAAGACCTCTGCCCAGGACTCGCAACTTGAACTTCACTGTGACAAGAAGGCTTAGGGCGCTTAGAGTTTAGGCCCGAAGCTTCAACCGACATCCCAAAGCTCAAAGCCCAACGCTGCAAGCAGCCTAAGCCCTAAACCCTAAACCCTAAACCCTAAACCCTAAACCCTAAACCCTAAACCCTAAACCCTAAACCCTAAACCCTAAACCCTAAACCCTAAACCCTAAACCCTAAACCCTAAACCCTAAACCCTAAACCCTAAACCCTAAACCTAACCCTAAACCCTAAACCCTAAACCCTAAACCCTAAACCCTAAACCCTAAACCCTAAACCCTAAACCCTAAACCCTAAACCCTAAACCCTAAACCCTACCCTAAACCCTAAACCCTAGACGACCCTGAATACCTCAACCCCCTAAGCGCCAGCAGGTTCCTTTGGAGCCCGGCATGGTGGTTGCAGTGAGCAACGACCTGTGGTCGATGAGGTACCCATGTCAGGTCTTCAAGTCGTTTTATTTTTTTTTATTTGCAATTATTTTATTATTATTATTTTTTTTATTCTTAGTTTCTAAAGTCGATCTAGAGGGGCAGTCTGGGCGTGCTATTGAAGTTGTGTTTGTTGCAACGGGATTTCGGGTTCTAAGGCGGTCTAAAGGGGTTGTGGAGGGGGTTTTTAGGGGGTTGGAGGGGTTTGTGGGGCTTGGGTTTTCTGGTCTCGGGCTCCGATCGTGGCATGTCAGAATGATTTGCGCGAATGCATAGGTGGTTTCGGGTTTTAGGCTCCAAAAACCAAAGCCCGAAAACTCAAACTCAACTACGCAACTCTACCAGTACCAAGTCTCAGTCGGTCAAAAAAACTCTGACAGCTGTTTTGGGGCGCCCTTACGGTGCTGAAAGCAACATGGGACTCGTTAGGGTTTAGGTTTAAAATGTTTGGACCGTATACTGCAGCATCTTCGGGTCGCCGCCGCAGGCTTCGAACACGTGGGCGCAAACGCGCGTTCTCCTTGACTTGCTTCGTGCAGGACAGCCTTGTGCAATACAGCTTGTGCCAGACTTGCCTGCTCCAGCTCAGTGAACCAACTGGTGGACACCATCGTAGTCTGCGCAGGCCTACATGATGGCCCAAATAGTAACTACTTAGCAAGTCTATTTTGCTGACAGCGTGAGACAGTGTGCACTTTGTCGCGTGTGACTTTGTCGCGTGTGATTCTTCAAGCAGTGCATGTTGCAATCAGCACCTTTGCATGCAACAGTTTGGTTACGCATGTGGTCGAAGCCACGTGCATGATTCAGAAGGATGCGTTGCTCTGCACGTCTGTTCATGCAATGTTACGGAAAATAGAGCACCGCAGTACCGAATACTGACCGGTAAGGCCCGAATGCCTCATGTTAAGGACATGTATGCAGACCGCAAGTGACAAGCCGGAAGTAGCAGCAAGCAAAACAGCCATCGGCGGCCGCTTCGTGGCGAGCGATGCCACAGGCCTTGCAACGGCAGTCGTCATGCTGTGAGCATGTGGTGAGGATGGAGGGTAGTAGTGGTGGTAGTGGTGGTAGTGGTGGTAGTGGTGGTAGTGGTGGTGGTGGTGGTGGTGGTGGTCGTCGTCGTGGTGTTCTCGGAATGAAACCCGGAACAGATGCAGTGACAAAGTCTGGATATCATTGAGAGCACCCACGACTCCGGGGTGGCCGACAGTCGCTCGATTCTGCCGTCAGGTTGTACACCGCTCTGAGGAGGAGGACCGAAAAGACATGTGGTCAGCTCTCACAGCTGTTTCCTCTTTTCGGCAGACTCTTAACATGAAAAGCCTTATGTTTAGGGTACTACGGGCCGAAACTTAGGACCTGTGATAACATCTTCTACCAGCTCTCTGCACTTTCCAAGACCTTTGAATGCCGCACAGATTGTTGCAACTTCAACGTGGCTTGGCAAGGCATGAACCAATGTATCCCTCAACAGCACAGTGACTTGTACCCAGGCCCTTGAGAGGATCCCAAAAAGTAGAACCTCCCAAATAGTACCCTGCACTACTATTGGATCATGTTTAGGAACCCTTTTACCCCCCAACAGCAGAGTGACTTGTAGAGGCAAGTTGCCAGGTTGTCAGCTTCGGAAGCCCTGAGGACATCCCGCCGCTGTCCCTGTCGGGCGTATGGCGTTCAGTCGCCGTGCAGCTGGAGGTGGATGTTGATGGCGTCAGAGTGACGATGTTTTGATCTTATGTAGATTGCTGTGTTTGGGCTCCTCGCTGTATTCATGACAAGGGGGAGACGCCCATGGCTTCGGGCCATTATAAGGTCGTAGAGTCTTGATATGAAGGATCTCCTGCTTTTGGTTGCGCTTGTGTGATGCAGGCATTCGCAAGCCAGGTCTTCATTTCAAGAAGATACCGATAAAAGCAAACCTGGATGCTAATACCTTCAAAATCCTTCACTGGCGATTGGGGACTGATTCGTGCACGCCTTCGAGAAGACACTTTCTACTGGTGTCCCGAATAGGCTGGCGCTCACCCCATAAGTATGTTATTTATGGATATAGTATGCATTCTCTCTGTGTCTGGCTCTCGCTCTCGCTCTCGCTCTCGCTCTCTCTCTCTCTCTGTCTCCCTCTCCCTTTCCTCTTGCTACAATGTAGAAACACATACGCACATGTCACACATTAGATACCCAAGAAATGCTGAAACTCCCTTAGAGAGGACGCAGACGAAGCCCCTAGACCGTAAATCCTGGCCCTAAGTCCTAAACCCTGGATGCAAAATATGCCGGGACCCATCCAAGAGCCCGTCAAGTTTCCCAAACCAGGGGCCCCCATCAGCAAGCAAGCGCTGTTTGGGGAGATGCTGGGTGTTGTGAGGCAGCCAGATCCTAGGACGCAGAGTGCTTTCATACATGATAGGTGGCAGGCAATCACGGAAGCAAGCTCTCGCAGCACACGCTGGCTTTCCGTAACTGTGGTCTGCCCCCAAAGCTACTACCCACATCGAACCCCAAGCGCCAGTGGTCCCCCATCGCATTTCGCAAAGCTTGGCTCCCAAACTGCCTCCTGAAGGTCTACAAGGAGCGCCCCGCACCCAGCTGCGCTTTCTCCTTGGCGCTGCTCACGTGGCTGGCGGCCCTATACAGGACACCCGTCTTCTTCGGTGCTGCCTTGGCATCAGGGCATTTCGGCGTCGCTTGCGCACTCGGAGTTGCGTTGCGGGAGTCGGGACTAGGGGGCTCCAGCTGAGTTGTCGGGATTGTAGCTCCGTTCAGTGCTGTTTCAAGAAGCACGCCAGAAACGTCATGGAATTCGGGGCTCTGGAGCCACTGGAACCCTGTTTCCTCGAAGTCGTGCGGCTGAGGGCTGAGGGTTTAGAAGTTGTTGGACACGACATCCCTAGTCAACTTCCCCTGTTCCCTGTGAAAGGGCGAGCCGACGGTTGTTTCACAGTTTTTGCAGCCTGATGTTGAAGCCTACCTCCAAACCCTAAACGCAAACCCCTAACCCCTAAGCCCTAAGCCCTAAGCCCTAAGCCCTAAGCCCTGACACGTTGCTATTTGCCCGTGTGGTTTTCTTGAAATTTCCGGTCTGGAGAGAGTGTTCTTCTGTTGAGGGGCGGGGAGGGGGGGGGGGGAGGGGGGGGGATTGGTTACGACCATTTGACTCTAACCATCCCCAAACCCTGCTATTTACGGCGTTTTTGCCTCTTTGTGCAACATGTTGCTGGAGGATGTTTGATGTTCAGCAAAACGGGCGCTGTCACACGTGTTCATGCCGTTTTGCGAACATGCCCAAAACCCTGCTATTTGCGGCGCTTTTGCCTCTTTGTACAACATGTTGCTGGAGGATGTTTGATGTTCAGCCACACAAGGCACTGTCATAAGCGTTCATGCCATTTTGCGAACATGACCAAAACCCTGCTATTTGCGGCATTTTTGCCTCTTTTATACAATGTGCGTCTCATCGAACACAACTACAGCTGGGTCTGGCGCTGGCAATTGGTCCCCAAGCGAACATCCTGGATCGCTTGGGGAAGGTGTGCTAAAATGAGTGCCCTAAGTTTGAGTTCCTGGATTTCCTAAAGCACGAATCCCTCAATTTCCACAGCCACACGCACGAAGTCCTGTAATTTACAGCGCTTTCCGTGTATGCCCTAAAACGTACAGGCCCGCCACCACACGGTCAGATATCAACGTGTGACCCCCTAAG